AAGTCCATCGAGTCCATGCCGGCCATGAAGGTGCCAACTTGTGACGAAAGATTCACACGAAAGTACCCACTGGAAGATCTGAGGCCGAGCAAGATGGAACGCAAGCATGGTTTGTCAGCAACCAGAATTCGATCTGTGAGACGTCAGCACTGGCACAACTATAGAAGGAAGTTAAAACCACAGGAGCACGCATCCTGATCCCTGATCCTAGCGAACCATTCACGACGATTGGCTTGCCTTCGAGTGACTGGAGGCATGTTGGCGGCAGAGATGAGAACTCAATCAGGAGTAATCCGCTCACGTTTCTGTCGAAATCTGAAACCTAGAAGCCGCCATTTCCAACCCTTCAAGATCGAGAGCTTCAGGTTAAAGTCTGTTGACAATGTCAGAGCACTGCGTACAAGTAGACGGAGAAATTGAATCGGCAGCTGCGTGCAGGCCGTCCTTCGTAGGCCGCGAGAATGTTGACTTCTCAAATTGCCAAGCTGTAACCTAAAATTCAGAAGAGCAGATCGTACACCGGAGGAGTGGGATAGATCGCAAGTCATGTGAAGCCCAGGCTGTCGATCATGCAGGCGTTCCCCATGATCTATTCGGCGAGACGTTACAAAAACCTCATCGCATCGGGAGCACACGCGCATCTTGGTTAGAAAGAGATACTGTGAGGTTTGATCGCCCTTGAAGGGAAAGCCGACACGTGGGCGGCAAGGATGCGAAGCTTTCTATGAGCAGCCGCTCAACGAACCAGTGCTACCAGAGTCTTTGAGCCGACACCTCTCAGCGCTAGCCTTTGAGCTTTGTCTGTTTCTGAACGCGGTACGTACTGAGTGGATCATGATACTGTGCAGAAGTGCACTTCCTGCGACTCGGAGTTGCAAGATTCCACTAAGTCGCCAATCATGAAGACATAGCAGCCTCGTATGAAAGGGGCCGGAAAGTTGCACGGGATCGCCGTCCCATACAATACGATGAAAGCCTTCTTCCGGAAGCAATCCGATTTGAGCGCTCTTTAGAAAGCCAGCCTCGTATAGCAAGCAACAGCTGGTCGCTTAAATCTTGCCCTCTCAAACCTTACCGAGATGCATTGGCCTGCGAACCCAACTCAAAGGTCGATATCGCTCCACGATCTTGGGCACTGACGATGATTTACGCTCCTTGAGGCTTTCGAAGCTCAAGCGACGAAAAATGCAACCGACCCGAAGGCGGGCGGAATGAATGACTGCAGTCCAACGACTTCACTTAGGTCAATCCAAATCGATGATGTCGTATGCTCAAGCTCCAATGAACTTAAACACTTGGTATCCAAAGGTCCTCACGGGGCCCTGTCTTCAGAGTCCCTCATACCTTCTTTCCTTCACCGATGACAACTTCGGAGTGGAACGAAGCTCCAATAGGGCAGAAAATCTTTGCGAACCCTCCGAGGCGATGTCGCTAATGTGTATTATTACCCACCAAACGCAACTGCGAACTTCGAAAGGCAACGAGCGTGCGTGGCTTTGATTTCGGTGTGTCATATTTGGGCCTTGCCGTATTGAAAACCTCGCAGGCAGGCCTTCCGAAAGCAGAAGCTTGGAAAAAACATCCCTAAACGCACTGATAGACTGACCAGAGCCTGCCCAGTTGCTTCAAAACAAAGATTTGACTTCTATGACCGTTGCGGTTCCAGGCCAGTGAAATCGTATTGTGCTAAAAGCAACGTGGGCTCGAAATTCCAGGTCACGTGGCCGTGGTCGTGGACGTGGCCACTTCGTCGCTCGAGTGAGCAGGTTACTGGCTTCTACATTTTCCCTCATTTTGCGTGGCTTTCCCCCCTGAAGAGCAGGATGTGCGACGGCAAAGATGGAGTGACGGATGAGCCATCCGCTCAATCCGAGGGAGAGTTCTGAGCCGGACAAAAAGTGTGCCCCTCTGTAAACTAAAAAAGAGACAATAATGGTCGTCGTCAGGACGTGACTTGGGCTGCAGAAACATGCTGCCGACGCGGAAAAACAAGCCCCTTCTTATCGCTATCATAGGCGCTTGCTTTTTTACGCTGGCGCCTTCAAGGTCACCCGTCGATCATCATTCTAAGACGAGAAATTAGCGGCGGCGGCTCGAACACATCCGACGTTCATGTGGGCTGAGCCGCGTACTCAATATCTGAGTCACGATACCAAGTTGTTTCCCACGACTCACTTTCTGAAAAAAACGTGGGTCATCCCGCTGCAAGTCGGATGACAAGAACGCCGGATCTTTTCTCTTGTGAGTGCTCTCCGTGTAGGCAGAAATTGAACTTGAAGTTGAACAACCGCTTTCGATTCAAACGCGTTGTTGCGTATGCGTATGCAAAGGGTCAGAAGCGTGCTCGCCTGTCCACAGGAGCCCATGCAATGAAGGTGCCAATTTTTGACAAAAGATTCACACGAAAGTATCCACTTGAACATCCGAGGCCGACCAAGATGGATTAGCGCAAGCGTGGTGTTTACGCTGTCGGACAGCCGGTGTTTTTGTAGTACACATTCAATTCTGTGCAATATCACCATAAGGAGAGTATCAGGGGAATGCGTCCTGATCCTCGAAAACCAATCAATAGAATTGACTCGCCTCTTCTTGACTACAGACATGTGGGCGGCGGAAAATAAAACTTTCATTCGAACAATTCCGCTCAGACTTTCTTTTGAAACTTGCAAGGTCGCCATCTCTGCCTCATTGTCGAGATTCATATGTCAATCTAGAGGTAGTACTCAGAGCGTTACGAAAAGTTCAATCTCCGCTTCACGATATTGGGCAATGACGATACGCAGTGCAGGCGGAAGTGTATCCTGTGAAGTAAGCGCGACTCTCAGGTGATTTGCTCGCAGGTTGTGATCTTTTCGAATATGGTTCTGTTGGAGGAGGTTCGCGCACAGTATTTTGCGGTTTGAAAGGCAGTAGTGCTGCGACGTACACTAGCCGACCGCGGCGTGCCTCGCTAAAAGTACGCATACCCGTTCTGTCCTGAAAAATCCGCCCTTTTTGCTTTTTGCTTTTCTGAAGCTGTACTGGAATCAACTGGGCCCATGCCCGGTTGTGTTGCATCCGCAGAAAATTGACCCCCTTGAGCTCTACTTACACTGAGTGCATGACCCTTCTATCTAGTTAGCCACAGGTGCCGGCAACGCTCCTCCTCTGCTTTTCTCTGTACCCTGTTGGTCCAGGGATTTGACGTTTGCTTAAAACAAGCGAATTTCTTTCCAGATGGTCTTTTGTAGAAGCGCATCTCAGGTGGGCCAGGCCCGTCTTTGCTAACGCAGTGCTGACGTGGTCCCCGCGCAGATTCCCCCCGACGCCCAAGAGGAGGGAAGGGGCCTGGTCTGTCCCCGGGGTACGTGCGGGTGTCGCTTGGCTTCACCGGGGCGCTGGAACATCGTTGGGAAGAGTTGCATTGAAGGCTCTCTTGGACCTGAAGCTTATCCCCGGACCGCTGATCGCCCGGCGTGAACGGGTGACCGGGTTTGGATTCACGAGCTGGCCTCTCTTTTAGCTGTGCATACGTAAACACGCCGTATATGTCAGTTAGCTGTACATACAAGAGGTATTGCGCAAGACGCTACGCCTGACAAGGAAAAAGAATACAATAGAAAGTTTAAAGGAGTCGCGTCAGGCCGCGCTGAGTGAGGCTTTGCGTTTGTCGAACAGACAAACAAAATTGATCCTAAGATCACGTTTCGAAGAATTGTGTATAGAAGTGTGCATATCAATTAACGGGAACAGAGCTGCGCCGTACCTCGCCTTTACGTTTCGCTTCCTCCTTTTTCGCATCTTGCGCATGCTTGATAATCACGTCACCGCGCTCAATTGATCAGCTTGCTCTAAAGTTTCCAATGCATCTTGCTTCTTGGAGGCCAGATTAAGTTGCATGAACACTCGCCTTTTTCTTTCGCATGAGGGCCGAACTTAGCATGACCATACTCAAGCCTATACTATGATACAAGTCACGGCATGTTTGTCGTCCTTTCGATGCCAAGTTGACTGTTAAGAAGACTGGAATTGCAGGAACTCAGCATCGTGTTTTCATATCGGCCTATATGTTCCTCAATGCTGAATAGTCCACGCGAGTGACATGTTGGCCTCCGGAAGGTCGGAACGGTTGAATTGAAAGAGAATTAGCAAGCGCAACGATGTCGAACGCGCCTTTTCACAATGGAATGACTCCAGTTTAATGACTCATTCGTTCCTCTCGTACGCAGACTAGAGCTGCCCCATTCTTTCACGAATAAATTGCGCTTGATGTGGTGAGGCTTGCATGCTGTTTCTATGATATAAAGCATGCATGGCCATGTATCATTTCGTGCCACTTGGCTTTGTATTTCAGGCAGCCCAGGCTCGGAGAAAAAATGTTCCTGATGTAAATGTGGATCCGCATATTCGTGGAGCGTGACATTATATCTTCTTGAAACAAGGTTGTCCGTCCTCTTCAATCGTCTCGTCAAACTTATATCTTTCTCGATCCTCGTCCTGGCCGGGTCGCGCTTAACTTTATCCACTGTAAAACAAATAGTCTGAATCTCAAATCCTGACAGTCCGTGACTCAGCTAAAGGAAGGTTTTGACAAAGCAACACAATCTCTTTGTTACCGTCGAACCTCCCTTCACGACGTACTGGTGCCGGATGACGCAAGGGCCACTCTCGTGTTGACTGTTCGGCGCTGAGTCTATAAAGAGACCAGTTACCCTGGCTGTCTGACGCGAGGGCCATTTTCGAAACGTTGTACATTCCTCGCTCCGTGCCTCCTCGTCACAAACTCCGAAGTATATACCTGTCTTTCTCTTTCCGAATCTGGGCAGACCGTTCTGGCGTGGGAACCCGACCTGGCTATTCCCGACTCTCTCAATATCCTCAGACTTCGCGAGTCGGTCTCTAGCTGCTTCCACGTCTGAACCCGCGACTTTAGTAGGTGGTGTACAGTGTCCGCTTACAACGGACCCGTTCGACGCTTTTTGCCAGACTCTACCGAAATTCCGGTCGGTACGTCTGAACGTCTACCCACATCTCGCAACAGGCCCGGGGATCCCCGGGCAACTCCCGGGGCAGCAAAGCGACTGGTCTCCGTTGGCGTTGAAGCACTGGTTCGGGGTAGAAGGGGTCGGGTCAGGTGGCGGGGAAAGGCCCCGAAGCACCACATGCGGGAGCGTCGCCTGGCGTGTTGGGGCACTAGAAAAGAAACCGGGGATCAGAAAAGAAACCGGGGTTGAGGATTTTGTTCTGAGGATCTTCGCAGGAAGGGCATCGGGTCCCTATGCGACAGCAAAAGCACCCCTCGAGACAAGGATCGCGGAAGAAAATCTAAGACGTCACCCGATTTCTTCCTCAATGGCTGATCTGACAGTCCTTTGCTGTGATTTGAACGGGTTACAGTGAACGGCAGCAACGAAGAGAAGGCAACCGGATTGAAGCTCCGAGCACTTGACCAGCATGTACGTTCAAGCTTCGTTAAATTTCTTGCCGTTGCTCGCACGGACGAGGGACAGTGGGCCCACTTTGGTAAGAATCAAAAGCATTGAACCTGTTCCAAAGCTCTGCGATCCGGTGTTCAGAGCCGAAACAGAGCTTTACCTGCTCCGGGCAACAAATGGACGCCGTTCCCTGGGCGTTGACGCACTGGTTGGGCAGGTTGCTGTTCGGATCACAAGGGGTGACCAAGGTAAGCGCCCCGGCCGACTGGCTGGCTCGCAGGGACCGGGGTAGGTGCCCCGGGCTCTGAGTGGCTCGCCGGAGGCGCCCCGGCTGACTCTGGCGGGCTCGTAGTGATTGGGGAAGGCTCTCCGGTCACTTTTGGCGGGTTCGCACTGGTCGGGAGAGGCGCGCCTGTCGCAATGGCGGGTTCTCAGTGGTCGGTGGAGGCGCTCCGGCCAACTCTTGCCGGCTTGCAGCGATTGGGGTGGGCGCCCCGGGCTTTGACTCGAGACGTTCAATGTTCAAACCTCTAACAAACCTCCATCCTCGTATCTCTCCCCTTTTTCATTCATACAACGAGCTCTATCTCACAGCGTTGAAGGTGGGTTGCAAGAGTGGCAACGCATCTGGGTGCATGTCCGTTGTGGCATGAAAGCCTTCACGAACTTAAGATGCTATGCGAGGTTCTTGACGGATTTCGTTAAACAGAAAATGTTTGCTCCAGTGGAAGAAGAAGACAGTGGGTTGCCGTGCGACAAATCAACATGCAGATTACCGGAAACTCGCTTTCACAATCACCGACACCTTGGCTTCAATGCTAAAAAGGTGCAAAAGCTCGTGTCGATGCTCAAGAAGACTCTCCCGGAAAGCTGGTCGAACGCCGCAAAGACAGATGCTCGAAAAACGTACCGGGATTGCAGACTGCCTGTGACTCGTCCAAGTGATCCTGCAAAAAGAGAAACTCAACGCTTTCTGTCGACGATAAAATCGCGGGGCTAACCTTTGCGCATGCAACATCACAAGATAACGCCTTGTTCTACGCACGCCGCTCTTTTGGCTTTTCCAATAGGTACAGCGGTGGCTGGCTGACGTCTCTCCTGAAAGCACGGCTAACTAAAAGCACGTCCTAAAACCAGGTCCTAAACGCACGGGTAACTGGAACCAGGTTCGAGAAATAAGCTGCTTCAAGAGTGGGAGCTGGGCGCTCCAACAGTTGTGCAATCGTCTGATGCGCTGTACATAGAGAAGCAATGCATCCCCGTGCACTTTGCCCGGCTGCTCTTTAGCGGACGGAGAGCATCGTTTCGGTGCTCGTTTGAATTCACCGGAGAGTCTGCCGCGGCCGTTGCAATCTGGCCAGTCAAGGCATACACAGACCGGGTATATTGTGAGTAGGAGAGCTAACGGCCAGTAGTACGCACCGGGCAATTCGGCCGGCCATCGCAGAGCGCTCCGTAGACGCACACGTTGGTTCCCGGGCACTTGAAATAGCGCGGGGGACAGCTGTACGAAGAGCAGAACGAAGCGCTCTCGTCGCTACCGTCATTGCAGTCTGCACGCGAATTCGTTTGTTTAGCAAATTGGCCCTTGAACGTTTGCACTGGAAGGTAAAAGCTGAGACTGGAACTTAGAAGTCCCAGAACATGTATTGAATACAGTGGGTTTGAGCGACGAATCCGTTGCGTAACTATACGCACCCAAAGAACGTTGGAAAGAGGGCCAAGAATGTTCCTACGCGGCCCCTAAAAGCTGGGTTGCTCTTGTTGCCGCAAAATAACCAGAGGTTTTGCTAGAGAACAAAGACGCGGGTCGCAAACTCGAACTTAAAAGAATGGGTGACTTTGGAACCTACCTGCAACTCCATCGCAGAGCTGGGCCTTAAAAATGCACTGCAAGGAGAGAACAAATGCTGACGGCTCACGAAGTGAAATAAAAAACATGGATTTCTCTATGCTGCATATGAGACACAGAAGACGGATCCATAATACAAGACGATCTGTAAAGCGCAGATTTTAGGACGTGTTAGGGGTGTTGATCTTGAAAGCCCATCAAAATTGGAAGTGGGAAGCAATGAAAGCAGAGAAAGTCTAGGAAGAGGAGAGGAAAAGCAATGGAGAACGGTACCTCATCCAAATGGTCCTGTTTACAATTTCTCAGAAAAGGTGCAGTAAAAAATCTCGACCCGTTACCTTGACCAGTCAGCACCAGTCGACGAGAGCATGCTCTGAGTGACGTCATCGAACCGTTCCTCTGATCCCAAAGCTATTCGGCCTTTCGTACACCGCACCGCTAGTGCAGATTATCCCTCGCGCGAGATTGCAACAGGTAGAAAACGAATGGATTGGAATGTCTGGGGACTGCTTACTTGCGCTCCCCCCGGACACTTGATGAAGGAAACACCGGTCTGCTGGCACTGATAGCTGGTGCAAAAGCCTACAGACTCGTCACTTCCGTCGCTGCAAACAAAACGAGTAAGGTAAGTCGCTGCACGAAAACGGAGAGACTCAAGCCGGTGCTGGAGGACCGAGAGACTTATGTCGGTGCAAGAAAAAGAGAGCGAAAAGTCGGTGCAAGAAATGAAAGAGAGATAAGCGGGTGCAAGAAATGAAAGAGAACGAATCTGCTGCGAGAAAATCGAGAGAGATAAGTAGGCTAAACGAAGAACATGATGGTGCAAGAATCGACGCGCTACTTTGATTATACTGCTTGGAACACTCGTGTCTCCCCAACAAACGATTGTGCAAGTTGTCGAAGGACTCTACTTGGGAAGATCTTCAAGACCCCCGGAACTCCGGACTAGACTTACTGTGGATGAAGGAAAACTGCTGATGCGTGGTCTGCGTGCATCTTGGAACTATGCGAAAGCCCCTTCCAGTGAAGACTTAAACCTATCTCTTCTTGAAAAAGCGAAGCCACTCACGGGCAATCAGCTTTGCCGTTGCAAAGCCCGGAATCCTGGTGGACGCAATGAATGCCGTCAGCGCACTTCTGCTCATACAGCGGACAGCTGGCGGACTGACAGTACGACGTGTCCTCGTCCGAACCGTCCGAGCACCTGGGACGTCAGCAAGCACACGTCAGATCAGCTGCGGCTAACGTCACCACGAGCTTCGTAGTGCGCGCGGACAGCTCACGGACAGGCTGTCCGAGTCTCTGCAACAGAACCGGGTAAGCACTGGCCGCTGGGAAATGTCGTCAGCCCACATGACTCACGCAGCGGGGCTTTGTTTCACGTACAAGCGTCAGACACGCTACGCCACTGTCTGTGCAAGATGCAAGCTGTTTCATCAAATCACAGTCATACAGTCACGAGAAAAAAGGAGATTGCCTACGGATCTGAAGAAGAGAAAGGCCTGAAGCTCTCAGAAGACAGCGAATAGACACAAGATTGAGTGAAGCAAGCTGAAGTTCCAAGGGAATAAGGTTATGATGTGGTATATTCTCAATATATAGCTCGAGGCCGCATGTACTGTTGTTTCAACGGAGGTAGATAGATAGAGTAAGTAGAATTGCAGATGAGTTAACGGGACAGATTTGACCAGAAAAACCGAAGCCTACGAAAATGGAAGTGCTGAAGCGGATCCTTAGAGAGCTATACTCACGAAACGATGCCGTCGCACAATTTCCCGTTGATGCACGTGCCGTCTTTGCACCGGATCCGTCCGCTGCTTGGGCATACGACTTGATTGGTGCAAAATGCAAGATTTTCGTCAGATCCATCTTTGCATCCTGCGTGCCGAGATCCAGCTTTTGGAACGAACGCCGGAACAAGCCCTCCAAACTTTCATAAGAAAGTTTCAAAAAGAATGACGCCTTCGTACAATAAGAGTCTCTCCGGCACAATCACAACTAGCGGATGCGGATGGCAGAGAACCTGCGTCCTGTGTTTAGAATCAGAGCGCGATTGTTGCTATCCCATGCAAGGCAAAGTACGTTGATATGCAGCCGGCGGATTGAAAGCACAGGCAGAAGATTTCGTGATCAAAACCCAACCCGTTCTGACATCGAAAAGTCGATCAGTCAGCGCAGCAAGATATAGACCGTCAGAAGCATTCAGGCCGTCGCAACGAAGCTGCCAAATCACGCTGCATCTTTAAAAGCACGTTATCTTCAAGTCGGTTACGGAACAGATCCAAGGGAAAATAGCTTCAGCACTCACTGGACCACCCGTTTGCCGGGATGCCGTCACAAAGGTACCGCAGATCGACGCAGCCGACCCCGCTGGGGCATCTCGTCCGTTCGGGTCCGCAGTCGTACGTCCGACACGTGGCGTCCGACTCATCGGAGCCGTCCAAACAATTCTCTGTCGTGCCGTCGCAGATCATTGGCTCGTACAGGCAGCCCCCGTTGCCGGAAGGACACTTTGTCTCTCCATGGCCGCACGTGTGATTGGCGCAAAAGTCGGCGCTCTCGTCACTCTTGTCGAGGCAGCTGCAGAAAGAAGGAACAGTCGGTTTTGACCTGAATGACTGTTGCGTTTCTAGCGAGTAGACCTGCATGCTTTTTTGAAACAAGGCCGCGGGTGGTCGCACAGTTTTCGCCTCTCTCCAGGCGGCTGCAACAAAGATACACAACCTGAGATATGAGTTCTTCCTTGCTTTCGGGAGAAGAGGTGAAACATGATACGACGTCTAGGTACCATCTTCGTTGATCGGCAACCGCCTTACCCGAAAGCACGTGACGTGGGCACACGCGTCAGCATCAAGCCAGCGGTTCGACTTGAAGCAATCAACTACCACCGTTAAAGTCGTTGGCTGATCCCTCCTCGTGTGACGCATGCATGTGACGTCATCTGGGCGCAGTTTCAGAAGCCCCGGCGAGCGCTGCTGGACCGACTGCCCCACAGGTGCCAACCACAAAAGTGACAGGATGATTCAGCGCACGTGACTCACTCGTAGATGCCGTTGCAAAGGGAATCAGGGCTCATACAGCCCACGCCGCTCGGGCACTTGATCTTTAAACTGGGGTCACACGTGTCACTCGCACATAAGCCGGGGTCCTCATCGCTCCCGTCCAGACACTGCAACATGAGAAGAAACAGACGTGAGAAGGAAGTCCGCTGCAGTTTCTGAACACACTAGCAAACGGTCCAAGTGCTCAGTGGCCAAAAGAGCAAATTTAAACAGGAAAGTGGCCGACGAGTTGAAGTCCGCAAGACGTTATGCTCGTAATCCCAGGGGATACCCCGTGTAGGGACCAGAAGACATTTCGTTGGCGCACGTGCCTACGATCGAGCCGTCCCAGCCTCGCAACACCTATCGCACCCAATGAAGCTCCCAAAGTAGCACCTTACAACTTTGAGTTTGTGCCTTTTCTTCCATTGAGACCGAACGAACGTACTCAAGCAAAAGCTTCCCAAAGCGAGTGGATAGCCTCCTTCTCCCCGTGGAGTCGGCTATAGCAAGAAGGAAGAGGAAGTGTGCTGACTACCTCAGAACTTGTCAAATAACGGTTGCGTTATCAAGTTGCAAGAGATACGCCTTGGCCCTCACGTCATTGTCTCAACAAGCCGTTTACATCAGCCTGTGAGCGACCTCTAAAAGTTAGGGACTCTCAATCCAACCCTATATCGTCTCTCACAAAGCAGATCTAGATACTTTCGTCTGCAGGGCAAAGATAGGGAAAAGCAAGCTGCCATACGTCATGGAACCCATCGCAGTTCCGCTCAGGCCCCATATAGCAACCCACGCCGCTGGGGCAGCGCCGGTATCTGTTAAAGCGCGCGCCTGCCATGCTGCAGTTGTACGAAGGCCCGCAGCGGGTAGCGTCTTCGTCCGAGCCGTCCGCACAGTCAACTCGTCTGCATTACTGAAAGAAGCTGAGCATGTGCCGAGGAGAAGAAGGGATACCCGAGAAGTAAGCAGCAAACTCGTCAGCGAATAAGGCCCGGGTTCAACTGAGTCGCCCGAGCAAGTGAAGACTGTTCCTTTTCAATGCGCAGATATCTGACGGTCGATCCTCCTGAAGATGATTGATGAACGGCGGTGTCCGTTCCTGAGGGAGTAACCTGGTTACGCCAAGAAGAAAAGGGCTCATTCCCCCATACATCTGCACCTCTGCTCAGCAAACATGCGTCGAGAATTACGAGAATTAATCGTAGTGATTCTGAAGGTCAAAAGCCACAAGTGCACTCTGGCTAATAAAGAAGAAGCTTTCCGAGGCCTTGAACAGACTGCCTTACGAAGGGGGGACGAGGAACTTTTCAAGCAATGTGTATTTTAATAATCTGCTAGGCAGCAAAGCACGAGGACCTACGTCTAGAAAAGCATTAACTCACCCATCGCAAACTTTGAAGCGGCTAATGCAGATGTTGCCGCACTTGAAAGACTCGTTGGGGCATGCATAGCTCGAGCAGAGAGCAGGGTCTTCGTCGCTTCCGTCCTGAAACGACCCAACTTTTCCGTTGGTTTCTCTCTGTTGCGCGGGAAAGACTCGGGAGTAGAAAACGGCACACGTCTTGGAAAGATCGCTGCTCATCGCTGCTCATCGCTGCTTATTGAACCTCAGAAAATTGGTACTATGATGAGAGAGCTTAGCTATACTCACGCTGCAGTCATTTGCTCCATCACAGATGGAGGTCGGGAAACCGGGCGGAATGAGTGCGCCGCTGAATGATTCGAGTGGGTTGGGCCCACTCTGTGCGGGGATGCACTGCTTCACTCCGGGGCACGTCAAAGCGCGCATGCTCGCGCAGTCGTAGCTTGCGCAGAAGGAAGGGTCTTCGTCGCTGTTGTCGGGGCAGTCCTCTGAAAGAGTACGAGAAAGAGAAGAAACCTTGAGAGCAAACAAACGAGCGCAAATGTTACCAGGTCCTTTTGAGTTGTAGTATTTTGATAGATGACACAACAACCCTGTCCCACTCAAGCAGTCAACGGTAGGCGCAGCAGAATCCTCGTTGACCTCTTCAGGGCCTTCTCTACTGCAAAGCAGAGGATAGAGGACGTAATAGGATTCAATTCAATGGATGCTGGATCAAGAGAATGTTGCGTTGCTGCTATCGGCTGATCGCTGGGCAGTCCAGTTATGTAGAGAAGAACGTTGAACAACTCAGAAACGCTGACAGGTAAACTCCAATTAGTCTGATATTGTTGTCAGGTCCAGGGAAGAGAAGCATGGAAAGGACGAGATGAACGAAAGACCAGAAGTCGTGAAGAAAGATGCGAATTCGAAGCGCAATTGTAGGGTGCAAGTTTACATGCAGTAGAAATGACAACATTTATGCTTGAAAGATATCGAGAGACTCAACGTATGTAAGGACACGGCGTCTGACGTTTAGCAGAGACAAGAGGACTTACTGACTCCGTCGCAGAGATACTGCAAGAAAAGCGGAGCACGGTCAATCTTGTAACGAGGAACGCCTGATATGAGCTCCATGCGGGATCATAGCAAGGCTTGCTAGCGGAAAGAGGCCTCCCAAAGCTCACCAAACAATGAAAGACTCTGAAAACAGGTTGACAAATACCAAATGTATCGCATGGAGGACATAAAGCTAGGCCGACAGCATTTTGTTTTGTCAGCATGCAGGAGCAGAGCACTCGGTCGGGGTGCATGACAGAAGGCCCCAATCAAACATACTACGCAAAACATGACAAAAGGCCCCATTCTAGTGTATCAAGGAAACTGGACAAAAGGCCCCATTTGTAAGTTGTCATTCTTAGGAAAAGCCGCACGAGTGTGGAACCAAGCAAGGAAAGTCTAGGCGTACCGGTGGACTGATACGATGACGTCCATACGGGTAAGTGGTCGTGCAGAGACTGCTAGGACATTTCGCTTTGTACATTGGGCAAGTATAGTGGGCGCAGAAGGTGGGAGACTCGTCGCTGCCGTCTGAGCAATCTGACAAAGAATAGGGATGTCTCGAATCTGTGAGTCTGGACAAATGGCAAAGAGAAGCCGTGAAGAAAGAGTGGCTTTCGGCATAAGCATAGAAGTTAAAGGCCCCTTTTCAAGTTGTCAAGCAAAGGGACGTTCGACCATCAGGGCATCGAACGCACAGCTCGCACAATTATTTTTGAAGCAAAGTCGGGTGTTATCAAACGGGGACTGGCAGCTGCAATCTTTGCGCGTTTGCAATCGGCTCCTATACGTGGATGGCAAGACCTGGAGCATGTAGAACACTCAAGAGGGAACAAGACATGAAGCTGGGGACAGCAGACGAGAAGAGGGAGAAAAGAACCTTTGTAGGAGTGCACAATCTTAGCTCCTTTTTGTGATCACAGTCCGTGCAAAAGTAAGGCAACAAAAGAGTGAACTTTTCCAATGCAGAGCAAGAAAGAGGCCCTTCAGAATCTGTTGCACTGTGCCGAAATGTCGAATTTCTTCCAAAAGATACGACGTTCACTTCATAGGCAATTGGCAATTGCAAAGCATTGCAGTCAGGACGGACCCTCCAAGTACAAGGCCAGATTTTTTTGAAGGACATCTTGTGAGCGCTTGCAGCCTTACCATTGACTCCATCGCAGGCATTGTGGTAAGGATCGAAGCACCTGCGAAATGGAAAGTGTCCAAGGAAGTTGAGCAGAAAAACCACGGTAAAGTATGAGTGGGAAGCGCTGCATGGCTGCTTTTGGCTTGCTTTGGAAGAGGACATTGAGGCATACAAGGAGCTGTCGGGTATCTTGGGGGGAGAGAGATCTTTCGTGTAAGCAACTCCTTGGACTAACGGCCCTTTTTGTGACTCTTGAGTCCTTTCAGGAAAATTGCTGAAGAGCTGATGCTGAAGACTGGACTTGGTCAACGTAGAAGCGTAGGTCTTTCTTGGAAAATCAATGATGCGAGACTCTGTAGATCAAAGCAAAGCTCTGCTTTCTGCCTGCTTGAGAAGCACCCCATGGACTCACCGTCACCTGATAATAATACAGAGACAGTACTGACCTTTGCCCCTGTAGCAATTCTAAAGACAGCCTTCTTAGATGCAAGGCGCTGAACACAGAAACTCTGTTCAGACTTGTACTTATTTTCCCAGAAACCATGTGGCAACTCACTCTGCTATACCGCTGGGGCACTGAACCTGGGATTTGTAGCACTGGATCGTGGAGTTGTCTTGCAGAATGTGGCGCGGAGACGCTTCTAAAGAATCAATCTGCAGGCATAAATTGGACACAAACGGTGAGAAGTCTCTTTGACCCTCAACGTGTCCATGGAATTTTTCAACTCTCTCAGTCTGCACTCAAGAAAGACATGGTTGAGGGCCTCGTGAATGATCAGCGTGCGTGGATGTGAGTCATGATAAGGGTGTTTTGACTGAGGTCTAGGTGCTGCCGACCCGGAGATTGCAACTTCTCCGCCACATTTTTGTCGCTGAGCCCTGACCCCTATCTCTGGGGTCCTTATATTGAGGCCTGTTCAAAAATGGCTGGCTTTCCTAAGTAGGACATTTTGGGCGTCTCTGCTCCTCAGAATCTGTGCAGCTCGTCCAGATGAAAGCAGGTCGACAAAGGCAGGTGCAGCAATTAATGCAGGCTTATGAATCAACATCAACTTCAACCAACAATCACTATCAAATGACAGACTTCCAGCATGGAATTCAGGCGGCATAATGAGGATCAGACAAGAGACAAATGGAGCTGAAGGAAGCCAGCTGTTTTGCTATGCACTGCTGAGTTTCCGCTGCTCATGGTCTCTGGGTATCAAAAATGAGGTTGTAGTCGCACTACTACCCAAAATGGCAGCTGATCTCTGCTGAAAGAGCTCCCTGTGACTTACTTGATGGAGCCCATTGCTCTCAGCCCCTGACGTCACCGGATACCAGCTGCTAGTGAAAATGAAGAAGCTGCTGACGAGCAAGAGAGGCTTGCGAGTCAGCATGTAAAGGCCTGCGGGAGCCATGTCAGATTGCTCTGCTTTTGCAGTACCACTAAGAGAGTTTCTCATTTGCTCATATGGAAGGGAGTGAAGATTTGCTGGTGACGAGTCGTGCACAAGGACGGGAAATGTGCCGGCAGCATTAGGATAGATGTGCTCTTTCAAGTCTCTTCCGTGTCCTTTGGTATGGCTGTTTACTCCACTGAGGACGTAAAATCACAGCCGCATTTGCCTGAACTAGGTACACGACCACCAAGGGCAGTGCAGTGCGCTCTTAATTCTGCATCCGGCCAATTTGCTCATGCAGGCTGGCGGCCTGAAGGCTGAAACCTCAAGCGTAAGGTTCAGGTTGTGGGATCACTTGCTTGCGTCAGAACGCATCACGTACCCTTGCGCATGTTGACACGCAAGCTGAGTTGCTGTCCGGGGGCCCAAACAAAGGGGCCAATTCAGCCCCCAGCTTCGATGAAGTGAACTCCGTGCGGCGCCTGTCGATCCGTGTGCACGCTCCACGTAGCACTCAAATTTGGTCACGTACTGTTGTTAAGGACGGTCCGGTCCGGTTAGCCGAGCCGCGCCGGAGCTACGCGGGCGCTAGCGCGCAGTGCGGCCGCGCCGGTAGCCGCGCGACCATATCGAAAGCTACACAAGTATGTCAAGTACACTGACAAAGTACTACTGTAGTGCCACTGTAGTGCTTGCTTTGCTCAGGGCTCCCTTTGCTTTGCTTTGAAACCTGGCACGGCTCTAAAGACCCTGCCGCCCGGCCTCTCTCCCCCCTGTCTCGCCAAAATAAACCTTGATCAACTTGAGGGCCTGACTATATGTGTGGCTAATTGTTCTGAACATCTTCGGCATGAAGCGTGAACGCCCCTGCCGACACCGTACCACTCGGACTGGACTCGTTCAATAATTAGGCTCGATCGAGTCACCTTTGACCATAGTTGGGGATTTGAGCAGTGCAACGGCCCTACATTGAAGTAATGCTTGCACATGGCAACTTGCTGCTTGCCGCGCACACTGCATGATGCAAGAGCAAACAATAACTCTAGCTCGTGTGAAACATGCGACTGTGGAAGGCGTCTCCCCCCTACGATAGCAAGGCCTATTGTTACGTGCAATCCTGAACAGAGCCCGGAGGGACATGGGGAGCTACATTCAACTTTGCTAGATGCTAGGCATGTACATACACCAAGAAGGAGTGACTTAAAGCTAGCTCGCATGGTCTGCACTACGAATGATGCATCAACAAATAACAGGCACCAGGTCGGGGAAGGCCCCATTCGCAACTCCCCCTACCGTATATCAAATAGAGACGTACTATTCAGAGTTGCTTCATTGATTGGTGGGTATCAAATACGCACTGGTATGAGGCCATACCTTTTATGCTATGGGTAGAGTAACCTAGCGAGCTGGCAGTCTAGGAGTCTAGGAGTCCAGCTGGCTTTTGGCAACCATTTGTCCAGCCTAGCTTGAAGTTCTCTTGGACGCATGCATACACGTTTCTGCTTCACTCCACACACCCTCACCACTACTGCATCTCTTGAGTTTCTTTTCCTGGTCAACTTTTGGACAGCTATGTACCTCGCTAAGCTAGCCCACGAGCTAGCCCCGAGGCATGGTCTATTGCAACAACTAAAGCGCCTGTCCAATGATCCCCAACCCTCCTACAATATGTACAGGTCAATTCGCATCCTCTGAAATGCTCGGAGAAAATTCATGCGGCTGCTTTCGTTGTTATCTTGGGCGTCTTCTCCTTTCTGCATAGGACCAGTGCTTGCGTTCAAAGAAGACCTTGAGTAAAAGAAGCAACAACCAAAGGAAAGGTCACGTTGCCAATCTGTCGAAGTTACTCGAACTCTTCAAACATCCAAAAGGAGAAATAAGTACCCAGCCCCCCCATAGAAGAGAACTTGTGCTGGACAGGGGCCCTCTGACGAGGTCTGCAAAACGTTCCCAGTGCTTTCTGAAGTGAACCGACGCTGATTGCGACACCAAGAATGCTTCCAGCAACATACTGGAATTAACCAGATTGGGGGGCGTATTCGTGAACGTCACGATAGCCCTAGAGTCTGGAAGCATGGCCAGAGTACATTCTGTATGCCTCCCGTTTCAGCAACATGGTACCTCACTTAAGGCTCGGCAAAAAGACGTCCCCCAGCAACTACTAACAAACACCCGCAGGATCAACGTACGACAGCTCCTACGCTCACCTTCGTCCTCGTCGAACTCTTCGTCCTGATATTTGCCCAAAGCCTTCAGCCTGCGAATAAAACGGCTGAACTAAGACCGTGGTGTCCACCCGAAAGGAAAAGAAAGCATTTCGAGTGAGGTATGATGACGGCTTCCGAGCAAAAGCGACGCGACTCGAAGAAAGATAAGCACGCTTGAATGAGCAAGCAGTGGTTAGGAAGATGAAACGGCTGTGGACGAGCACAGTTGTGAGTAAGTGATGACAAGGTTGAGCTGACTCTGGACAATCTTTCCTACCAGCACACGCCGCGAATCCGAGCATCCGTGCGCTGGTTGAATAGCCACAACTTCCGACGACATGTGGTTGACACGGTGAGCTTTTGCCCCAACATTCAAAAATTCGCCCGCTAATTTTCCAATCAAACCAATTTGCATAAGCTACAAACGACATACACCTTTCCTGTCTTTGATGACCAGAACCAAATGTAGCCCTCTCCTTGCGCATCTTTTACTGTGTTGTGACGACCGCTCAAACTCCTGGAAACGCACCTGTACAGCTCGCAATAGCGAGCGAGCGAATCCGCGTGCATCTGTGCAGCCACGGCCTGCAGAGAAGCGAAGGTACAAATCCGCTCGATTTCAATCGAAATCCGCACTGCGAAATTGTGTTCCAGCTAACAACTGGAAGTAGGAGACTCACTAGAGCTGCTGCGACGTAAAGTGATAATTCGGAAAGTAACTGTGACCGCAGTCACAGTCGCCGCGCACCAATCCACGTGTCTGGCGAAGAAGCGACCATGAGAGCTGTGTGTCTGCGCTTGCAGTTGCCCAAGGCAAAACCTTCCCAACGACTGATTCGGTTGCACAGACCAAACCCGAAGACAATCGTTTAAACAAATGTTACCTTGGTCCGGCAAATGGTGTTCAAGTCGAGGCTCTCGGCCAATCGCAACTCACACAGGTCCTGCAATAACAAATAGAAGAGTGTTTCAAATTCGACCACTGCTGCGTCTAAGTAGGAACGAAGTGGACTCTGCCTGTATTGCCAAAAATGGGGGGGGGGGCGTAAGCCAAACATGCGCGTTGCGAGGATAATTGTAACAAATACTACAGCCATTGGAGTTCGAAAGGAGACCGGGGTGCTGTTATGCAAGCCATCCAAGCTGCTGGTAGGGAGATATATCCTCGCAGTCCGAAGAAAGGTCGAAGCGGTTGGGATAAAGGACGCCCCCCGGAACTCAGACCCAGTCAAAACCTACGAGTATCTCCAATAAAAGTATGTCCGAAAGCGGCACTTCGTGATGTTTTTGCTATTACAAGGACGCTTTCGTTTCTGCAAGACTATACGCACACGCCATAAGGCGTAGTCGAAGCTGCTCTAGCGCAGTGCAACCCTGGAACAGGTCGGCCAAGCTTGCTCAAAGCACATACCAAACCATTCTCTTGAGGGCGAAAAGGCGCACTAAGAAGGCCTCGTTTCATCCGCACTAACCTTCAACGAGCAGGCTCTTGTAAGGACGGCGGAATGGCCGCCTCCTGCCGCAAGGCCCGCTATCTCACCCACACACCTGGAATCAAGAAAGGACTTGAATTTAAGGGTTTGGCATGACAGCTCTGTTCGTAATCGCAGATTCATTATCAGCAGCGGACTGGAAGAACAGTGGTGTCGACATGAGAAACCCGCTTACGTTTTGTAATTGACTCTTCTCTCACCACCTACTATTGAAACAATCTGTTAATCGGCAATGGGTTTCGGCCCGAGACCATCGAGCGGCGAGCAAAAGAGCGGACAAAGTGGACGAATCTGTCTTTACGGGTCTGATATCGTCCAGGATGCGACTTTTAACATCGACGAATTTGATGCTCTACAGATATCAAGGCCTCACCAGTCAATCGGTGTGGGCACCCAAGCATGCGTCTCCTTGCCGGTCGCTGCCTGACCGCAACTGTTGTAGCCCCACCTGATGGCAGCAGTAGGATGACGTCAGCAACTCAAAAAGAGCGGTAAAGCTAGGCAAATGGTCTTCAAACATTGAGCACATCTTAGAGAGACAAGATACCTCCTCGTATCCAGTGACTCCCCGCAAATACATTGCAAGTTACAATAGGGCTCTTGGCTCTTGACAGAAGGTAGGATTCCGTCCTCTGACTTCAAGTTCAGAGTCGAAGTGCAGCGTCCATCAGAAACACTTAGCAGGGTACCTGATGCCGCAAGAGCTGAAGCTGTGCGTCAGAATGCCAACAATGTTCCGGACCAATCTGCTTGTCACAAGTCCTCACCAGAATACTTAAAGCTTCAGCAGTTGCTATGGCAGCTTCCCGGTCAAGAGCTCTTCAGAAACCTACTCTCCAGGCGGAGGAAACACCCCACACCCGCAGCCCCACTTTGACCAACCCGCGCTCTTCATCCGTACACAAGTCCGAATATTTGGAAGTTGATTCACTTACCCCCAAAGACGGCCGTCCAGCGTGCACGCCAGAGTGTGCGTCTGCAAACCACGGGAATCAGTCAGTCGTACGGGACGCGTTGCCACGGGCATCCCTCCCAGCCGTTGATCGGTCCGGACCAAGGGTCGAGCTTCGCGAATTGTTTGGGAGCTGCCAACAACGCTTGCACGAGCGGATTGCAAAGAGGAACGGGGGAAATTGCTATTTTGAAAGAGCAGATCTTCTCACGATCGCATGCAGTCACTTTTGGGTAAGGAAAAGCCGTCCCCATCAAGATAATGTTCTCACCTGGCCGCAAACCACCATCTTGGCGCCCCGAGGTAACAGCACGGTTGGCAGCCTTCGGAAGAAGTCGTTGGACTCGTTGCGGTCAATGAACGGGAACATCTGCAGGGAGGAGAAGCACCTCAGTAAGAATGTTGCAATCTGTCCACGCCGGCCGCTCACTATCGAGCGCCTCGATGACTTGACGACCAAGCTTTCATCACTAGGCCAATATCAGTAGGCCCTCGGGCAAAAGAAGCAGGGGTTGCCAGGCCAACATTACCTGGCCAACAGGCAAATTTCGATAAACTCGGAGTGAAGACTTGTCAACAGTAAAGCTTGGAGGAGCAGGTAGACAATGGGGAACCAAGTTCTCTCAGCAGTTAGAGCAAAATTGCTTCGACAGCGTACAATACTGCTGCAAAAAGGGAACTTTAAGTTGTAAGCTCACATAGGTCGGGCGGCCCAGGCCCAGCTGCCCCTCCCGATGCCCACCCCACATGTACAGAGTCCCCTTGCTCGTGATCGCGCATGTGTGTGCCTGCAGGATGGCGAAGTTCGTGTGAAACACAGGGGTGATGATCCATTTCGGCCTATGGCGAAGCTCCAATCATAAGCGCAGTGCCTGATGGATAGCTAATGCAGCGATGGCTGATAACTTGGGAGGAAGGCGGCCTTTCCGTCGAATGTTTGAACATCAGACTTGGACAACCTTTCAATAACGAAAAGTACTTCGAATCTTCAGCAATCTGATCAGCCCCAGAGATCCATAACCCCAAAAGCGCGACTCCAAGCACGAGGATCTCGAAACAACTCACCTGGCCGCACGCAATTTGGCGCACGTGCTGCCCCTCCAGGCTAACCACCCTTCTCGGGTTAACCTCCCGGTCGCGCCCCTGCAGCATCCGGTGTCCGAGCTGGCCCATCGCCCCGTGTCCGAAAGTGTACACTTCGCCGGTGTCCGAAACGCACGCGGTGTGGTATGCCCCGCAGGCGATTTTCTTGACTTTGGCGCGAACGGGGGTGTCGGAGGTGTGCTGGATAAAGGCGCGCACGAGGCGTGCAGGCTGGAGGCCCTCGGAGCTGAAGCCATGGCCGAGCTGACCCTGGAGGGGAAGCAACGAGGAGTCAACATTGATTGAAAACTTGGTGGAGGAGGATGCAGAATTTCTGAACGGGAGAGTAGGAGTAGGGGTACCTTTCGGTCGCCCTTGAAGAGGGCAGATAAGAAGATTTGAAGTACTGTAAGGGCTTCGACTAAGGTGCACAATTTTCACCGGAGGAAGTGGGAACGTCACCCAGAAGGAAAGCAGGGACAAAAAAACTGACTCCAAATCCAGCTGGCCTAGAAGATGGGGGGACAGGAGCAACGAGAGAAAGCCGGCTTCACCTTCCTATAGAGCGACCCTTGCTCAGCACAAGGAGATAGGAAGACAAGGAGAAAATGAGGAGCAACTTGAAAGGGTTTCTACAAAAGCACAGCCCTCTTGGTTGGCAATGTTTCTTCGGGAACAACACAAGCAGAAAACTGATATTCACAGGGGGTCAGTCTTTACAAGCCTCTAAGACGATGGCCCCACTGATTGTAATGAGTTGGACTGACCATAGCTCCAGACCAGCTTTTAACAATTGGGGGCAGCGTCACAGGCAATGGGTCTTTGCGAGGCGAGCTATAATCAGCCTTACCACCTCATTATAGCCCCACGTCATAAGCTGCCCCCCTGCCGAGACCGCGGCAGCATGTGCTGCCCCAAGAGAGACCGCCGCAATCGGCGTGTCCGCTGCAAACGCACCGTGAAACGGCCTTGGGAAATTGGACCCTTGGTGCTGGCCCCACACCCAAAGCTTCAAAGGTGCGCCCTTCTTGTTCCGAGGCCTTGCCAGGGCCGCGCTCGACTGATGGCCACAGGCAATGCTGGTGACAAACTCGGTCTGCAGGGCCTTGACGCGCCGGGGCTGCCTGCGGTCCGTTTCAGTGCCATCCCCTAGCTGCAAAGAATGGTGAGCAAAATTTGAGGAAAGTTCGGGGGAACTTTGCTTGGGATGGCAAAGCCAAACTCCGGTCTTTTGAGCTGATGCCTCTGAAGCAAGTAGCTCTAGCTGATTTATTGAGCAACTTCAAGAACGAGGGCCGGCAGGCAGGTTGAAGCCGCCAGAGTGCACTGATTGCTTGCTGATCAGATCCCACTGCTCAAGTGAAACTCGCTAAATACTTATGGAGCAAGCCAGGCTGCTGATCATGAAAGGGGAAGGGGTGATGCACTAGCAACAAACGTCAATCACCGTTCTAAAATCTGGGAATGGATCAATAAAACCACCTTCTTTCTCAAACAATGTGATTCATGTTAATCAGACAAGCCTTTTCAGGGCGCTTGAAGGCCATTTCGCTAGATCAAGATGTTAACCCTAATGCCATCTCCGAACCCTAATTTTGACACAAGGCAATCAGCGACATACATTTGGACTTTAGACCAAGCTTGGCACGGGTGCCATCGACTACTAAGCGCACTAAAGGACAGGCAAGTTTGATGGAGAGCTTAAGTGCAAGTATTAGGCAAACGCACCTGGCCGCAATCATTGCTCCCCCACATAAATAGCTCCCCATCTCTTGTCAAAGCTCCTGTGTGTTGCAAACCGCATGCAATCTTTACAAACGCAGCATCGCTCTTGAAATGCTCTTGCTCCATCAGTTTTGGCGACCGCTGGACTTTCCAAGCTCTGGGGTCTTGCATACAAGCGCCTGTGTGCCCTGTTTGGCCAAGCTGGTTGTTTCCCCATGTGTATATCTGACTCCGGTGCACAATCCTCTCCTTAGGGCTCTCGAGGGGAGCCAGCACAAGCGCAGCTGGATCGTCCATTCTCTCGCCCTCAATTGCGCGAAGGGCGCCTTCATGCATAACTAATTTACTTCGCAATGCAGCTGCACAACTTCGCGACCAGAAGTCTCCCTGGTTCCGGTCAAGCAGAAGGCGGAATTGCTTCGCAACCGGACGGAGCTTCCCGGCGGCCATCAGCCCGGTAGGAGAACTCGAAAGGTGAATGTACCGGGCACTGTGGGAGCAATGTTTCCGGTTCCGCCGTCCAATTCTAATAGTAAAATGCCTTGGCTTGTCCGGAAAGCTGCCAGCTATGCATGCAACACATGCAGATCTTTGTCAATGACATTGTCATTTGCTTTCATTTGCTTTCATCAATCAAAGAAGCGTGCTTCAGTTTGTTCCTCAGGACGTTTATCTACGTAGATTCACAGAGCTGCCTTCCGTCTTTCTATCTCTTCCCAGCAGGTTTCACCCGCTGAATTGGCTCATCCGTCTCTGAGCGGAACGCTTGTAATGGCGGACAGACAGCCCCCAGCCTCGCAGTCTGAAAAGAAGGAAAAGAGCTTTGGAGAGTTTGAGACGGCGGCAAATGAGCTTCTTGAGAGGAGCCGCCAATTGCTGGAAGCAGCAGCTGCATACAGCAGCAAGTTAAAAGCAGAGGGCGATGCAATTGGGAGCCAGGCAACAGCCCTGGGAAAGGACATCAAGGCGCTGCAGATTGAGGTTTCTAAAGCAGCGGACAGGGATGAGATCAGCGTCGATGAAGCAGAGAAGGTGTGGTGTTTCTCTTGTGTTGTTTTTGTAAAAGGGAGGTCTTGCACGGTATGTTTTCTCTTCTGCATCCTTCATGTTGACATTTGATGTAATGCCGTGGAAAGGAAGAAACGATTGAGAAGGGGCAGCGCTGGAATGTTGGTGACTTGGAACGAGATTTAATCTTGTCGCAGGGGGAAGGCAATTGGGACTGTGCAAGCGGAGGGCCGCCAGAATGAGGTTTCCTGACCACTTATAGTAAAGCCAAGACATTCAGCAATCACCATCATTTATAGGAATGAAAGTCTCTGAGGTCCAAAAAGCATGATTCTGCGCAAACCAATACATGCAGAACAACCTTGTGCTTCCTCATCCTTGTCATTGTACAAACAACGCTGTCCCATTCGTACTTGGAACAAATGGATGCATTCTGATGCAGTTGGAGGATGAGATCAAACGGGCGAGAAGCGCTGTCTATGATGGGGACGTCACTGCCCTGATGCCTCACAAGGCCAACGGTGAGTCAGGTTCCGTGATTCACCAGTATTTGACTCGCGTACAGCACGAAAAAGGGCGCACTTCTATAATGCCCCAGAGAAACATCTTCTGCTTAGAATCCAATTGGATGATTGCCAAATTGCCCCAGAGCGATGTATATAGAGATGTCAAGCACTGCATTGACGGCGTTGCAGCACAACAAACACAAGCGAAGAGCAATGACTGAATCCCTTAGACGTTCTGTATTCCGATGCAACCCAGATGACCGCGCAGGAAAGTTTTCTGAAGAAATGTGGGAATCTCTTAACTTGCTTTTGGAAGGCTGCGGGTGCAAGTCTTTCAAAGAAGTGCGACTCCAAATTGGTAATTGCCTAAACAAAGGTCCCCTGAGGTCACAAAATGTGTTTCGGCTTTCGCTGTGGCTGGTTAGACTGTGTAATTGTCCATCTAGCTTTCCTCCTTTGATGCCTTCGCATACTGAGAAGGAGAGTAACGTTAATGTTCTGCAACACCTATGGGCGACAGCGCTTGGAACAAGACCAAAATTTTCAAGGCGTCCGCACTGGAAAGCACTGAAAGTCCTGTCATAGCGGTCTGCAATCTTGACCATGGGATGCCATCTGGTTGCCCCATTCAGAGTTGCTTTAAGCACTGCTTTGAAATTACAGGCATATCCCTGCGCACTTTAGAAACGCAGAAGTGGAGATGGTGCTACCCTTCTAAACTTCACCCAAGGCAACCTCTTAAACAATGAGATGGCATGCTGCTGGGTTGTGCCGGATGCAGGGGCAGAACTGATAGCTTATGAGCGACGTGCTTAGCGCCTGGTGTTCCATACCATAGCTGATCCTCCCCTTGACTCTCCCCGCTCCCTGACACAAGCGCGTCCACAGGATGTGGTGGCTGCGCCTAGTGAGGAGTTCCTCATCGCCCGCAAACGAGACCACCCATCACATACAAACACGTAGCATACCTTACGCTCCCTTTGTGTTCTCCCTCAGGCACATTTATGGGCATGCTGCTCGGCAACGTGAACGTCGTCGCCGCACGGCGCGAGGTGCGCTTTAAGGTGAAGGAGGAGTACAACACGTACCGTGACCGCACCGCGCTCGTCTTCCTCACCTTCCCCTCCGTGCTGCTCTTCCTAAAGCACTATTATGCGGGCCAGTGCCTGCCGGGACTGCTCGTGACAGCCTACTCCGCGTGGCTGCTCTTCTTCTACACGAGCCTCGCGCTGCGCGAAAACATTCTCAAGATCAATGGGAGTGACATCCGGCCCTGGTAAGTGTGTTTGTCAATTTGGGGTCTCTGGAATTGTTTATCTGACTTTTTTTATAGATACCAGTGTTTGGCCTTGAACTTGAGGCTAAGCGAGTCGTTTTTGCCTTTTCAGTGTAACCAACGATGGAGTCTGGGGTTGTTCTGCGGGCTTGTCTGATGATACTTTTCACGGTAGAGTTGAAACCTGCGGGCATGAATGTTGTTACCGTTGCGGTACAGTCCATCTTTTCTTGCACGAACAGGGTTTGCACATGGAACCTCTATAAACACAGAGCGCATCGAGATCTGCCCCTGGACCGTGACAGAGTCGCTCAACTTCCGTTCAATCGCATTCCCAGTTCTTCAGGTAATATCAACACCAAAGCTTTGCCAGACTGCGGGTTCCCAGCCTGACTTGAGACGCGACAATATGACACACTCTGAATACAGTCGCTTAACCTCATTCTGACCACTCTCTTAACCCCTTCCAGGTGGATTCAGCACCACTACTTCGCCATGCTGATGGCTCCCAGCCTGACTTACGACGCGAAATTATGACGCGGTCAGAAAATAGTGGCTTAACCTCATCCTGACCACTCTCTTAACCTTGCCAGGTTGATCCAGCACCACTACTTCGCCATGCCGATGGTGCTGGTCAGCCTGACTTGGGACGCGACGATATGACACACTCTGAAACCAGTCGCTTAACCTCATCCTGACCACTCTCTTAAACCTCCCAGGTGGATCCAGCACCACTACTTTGCCATGCTGATGGCTTCCCGCCTGTAACCAGATCCGTAAGTTTCTTGCAATACCAGTTGCTTACCCTAACCACCTTCTTAAACCTTCCAGGTGGATCCAGCACCACGACTTCGCCATGCTAATGGCTCCCCGCCTGTTTGAGACGCAACATTACGACGAACTGATAACAGTGGCTTAACCTCACCCTAACCATTCGCTTAACCCTTCCAGGTGGATCCAGCACCACTACTTCGCCATGCTGATGGCGCTGGTCAGCCTGACGTGGGGCGTGGAGGGCTCCGACTGCCTCCAGAAGCAGGAGAGCGTCAGCCTGTTCCTCCTGTGGGCCGTCATGCAGGGCGTCGTGATGCTGCTCCAGAATCGCTACCAGAGGCGACGCATGTACACCCGCATTGCTTTGGGAAAGGTGCGCTGCAATTCATTGGAATGGGGCGTCAGAAAACGGGTCATGGAGAACATGGATTTGCGGCCACTCTCCGCGAGCGCCCTTGGCTAAAATTTCAGGGCCGATCAATGATTAACCTTGATGACGAGATAATCCCAATTAGTCGATTCGAAGGGTGATAGCTGAGGGAAATCCTTGAAAGCTGGCCGGGAGTCCGGGTCCCTTTTCCATCCACTCGGTCAAGTGGGGCTTCGTGGTACCATGGCGACCCTCATTTGGTCAAGAAATAGTCGCTGAGAGTGCAAGAGGCCATGTTGGTGCTGCTTGTTGGGCTCTTTCTCCGACGACGGCTATTGAGAGGAGAGGCGTAACAACCGTACGCAAGTTCGTCAGTTCCCCGTCCATTCACTGGCATGTCGTCATTCTGGCCGCTGTCTGTCCTCACGGCTTGAAGTCCGCTCGCTTTCTGCACGTTTGTAATACATTTCCATTTCTTCGACAGCATCAATTCTTCCGTTCTTTGAGCATTCAACCTCGGATCACACCACTTCATTGATCGGTCTTGATTGGGGGATGTCAAGAAGTTGCTTTGACTGTTGCCCAGGCCAGCTTTGCACTGCGTACCGATCGAACGCCCCTGTTGTGCAGGCTGGGAGGATGGACGTGGTTTGGGGCGAAAGCGCCGGAGTCAAAGGGCAGCTGTGGGTTCTGTACCCGCTTCTCTTTGCCCTCCAGGTAAGACTGCGGCGAAGAGAGTTTTTTCACCAACTCCACATGACCGACTGCCCGCTCATTCTGCTTAGCAGATCGTGTGCTGTCCTTCCCGATTCGTGAGACGCCATTGACCCAGCTCGGGTGCAGTGAGATTGTTTTGAATATGTTCCGAATGCAACATGTTGACTTTTGTAAATCTCTTTGGGTTGTCGTTAAGTTCGAACTGTCTCGCGAGTTGCTGGGCGCTGCAAGGAAGCTGTACATGCAGAAAGCGCTTCTGGCAGAAGCAGTTTTCCAAGATCTCATCCAACTCGCTCTCTTTGCAGGGCTTTCAGTTCTACATTGGCTCAAGATTGATAATGTCGTCAATCTTCGTTTCCTACGAATGGCAGGTGAGTTTCGACGAACTTATCCAGATCTGTTGCCCCATCGTGGAGTTAGCCACTTTCTCGTTTGTCCAGTCCAATCTTCGAGTTCGAGCAGACATTCTGGACGTGAACATATGCACTCCCTTTTTATTGTGAGAGGCTCGTCCTTGAACTTGCGCCCTTTTTAAATGCAACTCTCAATTTTTCGACTTATTCAATTCGTTCTCGCCTCTGCGCAGATTGTGGCTTGTGGGGTTCTTCTAATCATAATGGCAGTCGGGAACTTCCTGAATACTGTCGCAACGCTAGCTACGAAGGCCAAGATCAAGAACAAGATGAACAGGAAGCGGAAGGAGGTGAGCGAAACCATCGCTCGTACTTTCAGTGGTCCTCCAAAGAAGACCCTTTAGGTCACGGCAGGGTGCTAGCCTCACAGGAACCGACTAGTCTGGTTTGTCGGTTCTCTGTTGCTTTGAGTAGGTTTAGGAGCAAGGGAGAGGGTCTGTCACAGCGTCCAACAGTTCTGTTGCAAGAGACAAGCTTGTCACAAACTAGCTCCGTAACCCTCTAGCTGAAAGCAGTCCTTGTCATCGCACCAACAAGACTCTCTTGCACCTATGAAAACGGCAACTTCGGTTCATTTTTGAAAGAGTGTTATGAGCATGCTTGCGTCCACATGTACCTTGGAGAAGCATGTCATATTATGCAATGGATGGATGCAGAGACTCTGTGCAGCTGGCTCCAGCAGCAGTGCTAGATACTAACGTGACTAGAGAAAATGCATTCGGATCCATTTGTTAAGTAGGATAGTGTGTACGTTATACACATACGCGCGGCGTCTTAAGACCTCTCGCACATGTCACTGCATCTCATGATAACAATCAAGCCAAGTGCGCCTTTATTCCACATTACCGCAACAAAGACCAGGCGGCCTTCTAAGTCAAGCTCGGCAAGCCACAGCTGCTACAGGTTGCAGCAAGCAACTAGGTGCCAAGCCTGACAGGTATAGGATGGCAGCATGCAGGTCAAAACGGATGACGAACTTGCTCGCACCAACAATGCCCTTTCGAGCTCTTGTCAACAATGTATCCAGAGGCAAAAGGTGCCCATCTTACATTGCCCAAACACTGGTCTCCGCGGCTGACTTAGACTCAAGTCTACAGATCAGATTGGCTTGATCTTGAAATGGAGTCCGATCAAAGAGAATACTAAGCACTTCAGGTCCTGCACAGAATGGATACGAATCAGCCTGAGCTTTGCAGCACACAGCCCCAATGGACATCTCTGTTGGGTATCTTTTCGAGATCAAGATGTTTGCGAGTATTTACCGAATTCAGCCCTAGTACAGATGATGATGCGCGTACCATGATATCGCTCTGATAACTGAGAGGCATGACAATCACAAGTAGAGTGCGAGGGTTCCTTAGCAGAACAAACTCTCCAGTCATCTCAGATAAGCCCAATTGACATCAAGCCATATTCCCCAGGCTACGTCCCACGTACTATTTTAGATTTGAAACCAGTGATGGTAGAAGGAAGATAACATACGGAACTAGAAAGGGTGCACTTACCTGCACAAGGTAGTAGAAGACTCTCAACCCCTCTGGATCTTTGCTGCTCTGCACGTCCAGCAGCGACCCAATCTTTGCTGTCGTGAACGAGATGTGTTCATTCTTCAGAACGACCTCTAGCTCCTGCTTCCCGACCCTGTCTGGTAGCGGCCAATTGGCGTCGTCTTCCTTCATGATCTGGAAAGCCACAAGATGATAAGCGGTTTGGTTTTTGGCAACCAATCAGGGTCACCCTCTACTGCCAATTCTCAACATGTGCAGAAAAGCAAGCCACGAGCAGACTCCTTAAAGGAATAAAGCCGCACACTTGCCGTGTAATGAGCAACTGGCTCCTGACATGCTCCCCACAGTTAGCGCAGGATAGTACCTCACAGCAAACTTCTGCTTCCTGTCAATTGTCAAAGGAGGAATAAGAGCAGCTGCTGATTGATCACATCAGTTGTCATACTTCCCATGAAATCGTAACGACCTCAAGCAGAACAAACGGGCCGAACTAAGGTAGCTACTGTCAAACATTTTGCGCCACCACCTTAATTTCTGTTCAAATAATCGAGGTTCTTGAATAGTAACACAGAAAGGCCAAAAGTAGGGGGCCGGAAAGAATCCACGATAGAACTTCTGCTTCAGGTGAAAGGAGCAGAGCGCCACCCCAACTGCTAACTACAAATCGTTCCGATGAAGTGGCACAAAGGAATCAAGAATGCAAGCGACATGGATATTTACAACTACCCAAAGCGCAAGCACGTATTAGCGGAGCTGCTTTTAAACAGGAGGCAAAGCAAACCATGCTCATCAGGCTTACACTACTGCCTGCAAATGGTCCGCCCTGAGTGAAACCACCACCATGTCCGATTTGCTGCGGGTGAGCGACAATCGATCAACCTATTTTCCGTCATGAACGGAACCGATAGACAAATGTCTCCTCACAGCAAACATACCACCCACCTCTGCGTCTTCGATTATTCTTCTGACTTCATCCAGCACCGCCTGCGTCACATACACCTCTTTCCTGATCATCGTGTCGTTCTTGTAGTTGGAGTTGTTTGCATAGCGCAGCTTGCCGTCTGGCCTAAACTCAAACTCCAGGAACTCATGGCCAAACTTCCCCTTGTGTCCGACATAATACCGCACATAGAAGTCACTATCTGCCATGATGCTGGCGGCAAAAATCAATCAGCACAAGCTGATTCCGTCGCCCAACGAAGCTCAGTTTCAGGGGGTATTTGGAGCCTCTTCCACCAATTGCCAGCGGTTTCGCAAATGCCCTCTTCCAATCCTCCACTATAAACTCTTGTTTCTCGACAATCCTCTTGCTTTGCCTACCCTCTCCTAAGGAAGCGTGCTGAAAGGAGAATTTGATCGAGGGGCGATCTGGAAGCGCCTGAACGTTGAAGTTTCTCTTCAGTCTTGAGTTGCTGCCACTGGAGAAGGCGGCCTTCCCTTTTCCCCTTGCTGTTCTACGTCGTCTGCTGAACAGAATTGGTACCCCGCAGTCAATACCTGAAAACTGGTTGCCAGGGGACCAAGATACTGATTCTACGTGACCTTCCAAATCTTTCTGTGGGGTGCAGCACTTTCCCTCGTTTGAACACAAAATTCTGCACAGCGAAGTGGTAGCTCACATATAGCTCACAAGTAGGGCGGTCACATATGAGTTCTCGGGGAAGTGGGGAGTGTTCCCTGAGGGAGCGCATGCTCCCCGAGAATCTGCTTTGGTCATATTTTATTCAGGGACACATCGCGCGAAACGTTAAAGCTTCCCGATATCTACGGCGAGGCAGACTGTCCGATGACTGACCGCCGACCGTCCCCTAGTATTTTTACCGGCGTCCCTGAGGGGCGTAGCGTCCCCCAGAATATCGAGTTGAAATTCTGGGGGACGAATTCACCGGTTTTCGGTCCCTGAGGGACGGGAATTCGGTCCCTGAGGGACGGTGCCCTCCGAAAATGTTCATATGTGACCGCCCTATCATCAAACTTCAAAGCTTTCAAGAGGACTTTTAGGCTGAACTCGTGGGCCATGGTGAAGAAATTGACAGCAATAGAAGGCAGCACTGACGTGATCAATGGTGTGTCTGCAGACCACTTCAGAAGAGGTGCCAGCGTGGAAGCCACTGACAGCGCTCATTGGTGAAACTTCATGAGAACTTTCAATCAATTGTGCCACCTCATGTCGCGTCAAATTTCAGGTCAACGCGCGTTCTAGCTGGTCCTGAACTGGAAAATACAGGGCTAAAGGGCCACATCATGAAGCTGATCAATCAAGTGCAACTCTCTGCAGCAGAGTTGCAGGTGTGCCCAAAGTTCACGGAGTTGATAGAGCAGCTGGAGAAGGTCTGCTTCTCTGAAAGCAGCCCCCTCGTAGTCAAGGATGCTGCAGAGAATGTGGCGCAGGTATGCTGCCCTATAACGCCCTGAGCCTTTCCTGCTCTTGAACAGAGCGATGTTTATGCCCTCCTGTACCGCGCTCCGAACTAGAAACTCTGCGCTTGACAGATTAAACTTTGAGACTCTCTTGTGAGACCGCATTTACATTCCCTAACGGCTAGTTGGTGAAGATCAATCATTCTGTGGGTGCATATCTGGTGGTGCGATCTATTTGCACCGAAGTCAAGGACGGGGCCTGCACTCCATTTGATTGCATTGCTTGTGATAGCTGCCAAGTCATGGACTTTTGACATGGATGATATGCAAACTGAGGTGGCGAAATCTGCTACAGGCCCGCTTGGACATGGTGAAGGAGAGAGAAAAGTACTACATAGCTAAGGTGACCAACCAACACGTTAGCAATCAGAGCTGATCTTCATGCCTGGAGTAACCGCTTGTACTCACCAGTGATGCATGGTGTTGCTTGTTACTGTTGCATCACTACAAGTGCATTTGAATCTTGTTGCTCCTCTGATGTTATGAACGGCTTCTGTGTTTGAAAACACTCTGAGGTCCTGATGAACTCAATCGTTTCTCTTGCCAATCCTTTCCATCATAACCTCCTGAGAGCCCGAGGGCAAGTTCTGACCGTCAAGTCCGACCACCTTTCAAGACAGACGATGAAAGCCTGGTAGTCAATCAAGGGGTGTGGTGTGATCTATGTTTCTCCTGGGTGACAGAAGATTGTCGGTTTTCATGACGCTGACCCCTTACTGCAGGCAATCCACAGCGAAGCGACTGCTCTGCTGGAAGACTATCAAGAGGCCAAGGCGCTTGCTGTAGACAGGGATGCAGACTTGAGGGAAGCGGTTGAGCAAGCTGGGCTTTGGTCAGATCCTGAAGTGAGCCACTTGCCTACGCCACCTGCTTTCGTTGGTCACTGAGGGAATCATTATGAGTTCAAGCTTTGCTTGGGTCAAGAAAGCAGCCAGCTTCGCTGACTTCGATTCAACCTTAATGAAAAGCACAACCATTTCACAGGATTTGAACTTTCGAATGTTCGGATGTGAGAGGAGATAGTTCGAACTTTGTCGACCTGGCTACGGTCAAGATCTCACCCTTAAAAAACCCCTGTAAAACATTCCCTGTCAGATCCCAGCACAGACCAGCGCAAATGAATGACAATGACAAAGATTCATAATTCATCAATTCAAATTGACAAACAAGAACACAGCTGAGCATCTCGAGAACGCCTCTACTTCGTCCAGGTGTATGAGACGTTGGCCCGCCGCCTCAGCGCCGCAGAAGCCGCTCAGCGCTTGCGGCTGCCTGAAGGGGCGTCTCTTAAGCCAGATGAGGCCCAAGAAGAGTCGAACGGCATACCGAAGGGGGTTATGACTGGCGACGACGAACATTCTGCGCATCACATGCTGGGAGTGCGGCCTGAGGAGCTGCTGAGGAGTCAGCTCGACGAGGGGCCGTTCAGCCAAGTAAGATTCGATAGACATGGATTCGGTATGTTTTGAAACCCTGCGTGAGATTGTTTGCTCATGCTGGTCGACCCCAAGGGTCTTCGTCGTTATACTGAGTCGATTCAAGGGTTCCTGCCATCCTTTAGTTGGTAGAAGTAGATGGTTTGCCATCTTGTGTCGGGAGTGGCTTGCAGCGTCTAGGAAAAAGAAGGCTGGCTGGAACCAACGGCCTGTAAAGCTGCTGGAGTTGGAGGAGCTCGACACCAAGCTTCTGGGGATGACATAAACATTTGCGGACAAGGTCGGTCAGGAGGTCACTGCAATGCAAAAGCTTTCGTGGATTGATCTGAAAGAAGACTCGAACCGTTGAGGACCCTAAAAGCTAGCGACCTCTAAGAAGCGTCCGTGCTTTACTTTCTCGATCGAGGAAATAGTCTCTTATGTTCTGTAAATCTCTGCAGTCGACGTCGACCTGTAGCCAAATTGATTCGCGCCCGGCCCTTGCAAAACGACGTACGACGAAATTCCAAAGACACACTTCGAAGAGCTTCCTCGCTCTTCGCTTCCTGCAGGATTCCGCTACCTTCCAGGCGATGGTGATACCCGAGATCGAGGCCCGTCTTCGAGCGAAGGTCGAGCGCCTCGAGTCGGCTTTTGCGGCAGGGTCCAGCGGCACCGCACAATCGACAAGGAGCTCGAGTCTTCCAGACAGGTGAGTTCATGAAAGCATCATTTTGGATTGCTGGGTTTTGTTCTTTCGTTTGTGGACCTGTGTCGAGAGGCTTTTGGATCTGGCCTTCCATTCGCTGCCCTCGTTCGACGTCATCCTCGTCATCAGCACCTCGATTATTCTCGAGAATGTGTAAGAGAAGCATTTATGAGATCTTGGCAAAACTTAGACTTCGGCCTCTTTGTGGCCCGTCGTCTTTGGGAACTTTAGGCCCGAAGAATAAGAGCGCCATTGATCCATAGCGGCTGCTTCAGCGTTATGAGTAATTATCTAGTGCTTTGGTATTGAGCATCTCTGAGCGTCTCTTCATTCTGCTGACCTCCACGCAAATCTCGAGGCAACAAATGCTTGCCAAATACCAATGGTTTAAACTCAACCGCTCTGCTCACTTTCTGGTCACTATGACGGCTCTCAAGAATTGGTCAAACGGACGCCCGACATCCAATTCTCACAGGACAAGCAAAATGCTTTGATCTTCTACGTCGCACCTTGGGTGCACTATGGGTAAATGGGGCGGAAACAGGGTCCTCTTTCCTCTGCAGGGTCGCTGCCGCTGTGGCGAAGCTTTCCGCTGACAAGGCGGCGGAGCTCGACGAGTACTACGCTGCTGATCGACGCTTCACCGAGTACTACAACGTGAGTCCTTCGGCCTTAGTAGCAAAGGGTTTACTTGAAGGCGCAGATGCCAATAAAACTTTTGCCAGGAAAAGAGAGGACGTCCGTGGGCGCAAACCCCAACGCTTTGCGGGGCTGGCCGGTGCTTGAGAGCCCTTTCCGAATGATCCCCCTTACTCTTTGCCATTGCAGGATCCCTCGCTTCTCTTGCCTTAACTCCTCGCGAAGTGGACGATGTGGTCATCTGACGGTGCTTATCAGTGACAGCTGCTGACGAGACTGTGGGAGTCGCTTCGTTGATATATCGCCGAACCACAGCGATCCTGATAAAAAGGGTTCCAGAATGTACCTTCAGTCCCCATGGTCAGTCTATCTTTCCGCTTTGCACGAATCAAAGCGTGAACAACCAATCCCAACCGTTCTCCGAAGATCTTCACATGCGAAAGTTTGTGAGCTTGACGAGAAAAAAGCGTTCACTCATGCAGGTTTTGGAGCAGATGTTGGGCGTACTCCTGCGGATGGCAAAGGAATACAAGCTCGACCACCAGCACCGATACGTGAGGGCCCTTTCCTTTACGTCCTTCTCCTTGCTGCGCTCTTACGTGATCTCGTCCTGATCCAGTTGCAATCCTTTCGTGCCTCTTCTCTTGCTGCAGACTTTCCGCGGGGAACTTGTCACCTCTTCTCTCAGCAAGCTTCGGCTAGCGAGGCATCGGTACCTCGATTTCACGAGTCTGCTCTGTCTGAAGCACGTCCCACGCCCCATCATCCGGAAATAGTGTCGCAGTACGTTTTGATCAACTCGTTCGCTTATGAGCGATTTGTAAGCTTGATGCTCATATTCACGGGAAACACAAGTGTCCGAATAACGCTCTCTTCTTTCCAGGACCTCCTTCGCACCGAGTGGCTCTGCCGGCGATGCCAGACGATGCACTCCAAGCTCCGGTGAGCCTCTGCGGATCCGCATTGACTTTTGCTTCCATTAAGCATTTGCGTCTCAGTAAATTTTGGTGGTGACCTGAACGGCCCCGTCGAGCTTACTGTTTGAAAGCTATTTGTCTCGTACATACGTACCGCTAGGGGCCTCTCCTGCTCTACTGCACATCGAGTCCGTTGCATAGAGAGACGTCCAGAACCGCTTCTCGTTGCCTTACAAAGCACCTGCTCTCCAATTTGTTATGAAGGAAACCCGTCGACCATTTTGGATTCCAGGCTGTTGTCTCTTGTCCCAACTGAACGCCAGTGCTTTCTCATCCTACCGTACTTGATCATCTGTTTGACCGGATCGCCTCTGCGCTTGATGAACGTATATTCCCACGTGTCAACGAGAGCACTGAGTGGGAATGGCTCTGCTTGATGCACTTTTTACAGAAAAGAAAAGCTGCTGGCCGTTGTGTGCACGATTGTTGCGACCGTTTAGCGCTTCACGGCGTATAGTGAACTAACCCTGACTCGCATGCAGATTCTGCGTGTTGAAATTCCCCTCTTCGGTTGGCATTATCCGAGTTCTTTGTTTTCTGTTTTGCAGGGTAATGGAGTTCATGCTGCTGAGGGATACATACAATGGGGAGACGGTTCCTGCACTGCACATCGTCAGGTCAGTTCATAAGGTCCTTCATTAAGCGTTCAATTGTGTAGATGTATACGTCACACGTCCCGCGCTCCGTCCTGTGATTCCCCAAGAGCTTCGACGGCATCTGAGCAGCTTGCGTTGGATCAGAGCTAGGTTGGCGATCCTTGCACCGGGCTCTTGCTTGAAATGCTTTCTCCATCAACGCGTGCTTGTCTCGACTGTGCAGGAACCACCTTCTGAGAGCCATGGAAGATGCGACCGCCGCTCACACGACCGCAGTAAGCACTCCGCCTTTAGCGCACAAACCATTCCGTCTCTGCCGCAGCCATGCCTTTTAAAGAGGCACTGATCAAAGTTGGCTGCTCGGACTCGTGCAGACAACAGGGACGAATCTTTACAGATTTTCAAGCTTCGTGCGAATGCATATACAGGAATCCAAACTCGTCTTTACGTCGGAGTCTCTCTCGAAGTCGTGACTGCTCTTTTCGTGAAGGCTTGCTAATCAGCCAATGCTAAGGCCCCACTTGAGTTGCGAAAGTCGGTTCCGAGTTGACAGCTATCAATGTCTTGGAAATGCGAAGACCGATCCTCATGCGCCACGTGTAAGAATGTCAGCCTGAAGTGGTTGCCGTTCCCTTTCGACAGGTCACGCGGTTGCGGGAGTTCCAAGGCTTCGACGAACGCTTCGACGAGATTGCCACCGAGTACAGAGAATTGACGGCGGTGAGACTTTGTTCTACCATTTTGAGTGCGCTTACTAGCTGCAGGCTCATCGACGATATCAGACTGTACCTGTTCTTAAGTCAGCGGACTGGCAGGAACTCGTGTCTCGTATCTTGGTCTCTCGTTTTCTTTGGAAACGAATCACAGACCAGCAGGTGGCTGTAATGAGTTTGAACGAGAGTCTGAACAGGTCACGTAAGCTGCCGCTCTGGTGCTGATCATCAATCTTCAATAGGCCATTCCAACGCTTCTGCTGGAAGAAATGTGGGCACTTATTGGGACACGGAAGTGGTTCCAAGGATTACGGTTTGAACTTGCAGTTGTGAGCGTGCATGACCGCCCAAGTTACAATTAGAAAAAGGGGAATGTTTTTGGCATCCTATCGAGCATTCATGGATGTGCCTTTTTGCAGAGGTTACAAGAGGTCGAGTGGACCCTTGCGGAGGTTGAAAGGGACTTAGAGGCGGTGGACTACGCTTGAGAAAGCTAGCAGCTCCGAATAGTGCGAGTCAGAGTCAGTGTTCGGCCGGTCCTAGGAAACCTTGTACCACAGGGGATATTGAAGAACTGATCACCCCTGTAAAAGGAATGAGAACGGGGGTATGATTGAGCCACGGTGAATCTATAAGCATCGACCTTGCTGTCCGGCCGTCGAAGAAAGCTCGATCATGTGCTAGCACCCCCCCTACATGTTGTGCAATGGGGCGCAAGTACTGCGGCGGGTAATGCAACCAGAAAGCATCGGTTGCGTACTGACTCTCATCGTACAACGGTGATCCACAAAGAGCACGAATTTAATGGCATCTGCGTCTTAGAGAGTGGCCGGTGAAGATATATATCGGATTTGACATGATATACGTACGGCCAGCGCACCGCGGCGCGGCCTACACATGTGCGGCATAGCCTGGGCAGTACACACTAATATAAGTACCACGTTTCGATTTGAAAGAATCTTGCATGCCAGATGAGCTTAAAATATTTTCAGTAAAGCAATGGAGATGATCACCAGGCATGAATAATAACGGCCATGTGTACGTGCGTCGATCCTGAAGATGACGGTGCCCTTCTTTGTAATCGCACGCGCCTTAGGTTCGCCAACTCTGGACAGACGGTCGCGGTACATCTCTGGGAGGACATACTTAGGCAAATCATCATGCAGTTTAATAAGTACGCACTTACTCATACAAAACACCTGTTTCCGGCAATGTGCCATGACAGAATGACATTGCAGCGCTGGCCGGCCGCCGTTCTTGCACTGAGCTATGTAAAAGCGCCGCGGTGGTAGCATGTCGATCGAAACGGTCACAAACAGAAAGCTCTTTGGTTAGTACCTAATCTTTCCATGATCAAAGCCTAGCGGTCTTTCATATGCATCCTCGATGTGACGTGTAATCGCAGCACGGTCTAAACTCTTTCAGAATCATCATGTGAAATCTGACAGTCCGTGCATGCTTGGAAGAGCCCCTCAATATCAGCACACACACCGCGGATAGCTTCGACTGAAGCCGAAGAACCGAGGCGCATCGTGTCCACCTTGACCTGTTAGCTAATTATTTACCTTGACCAAACCTACTCTGGCCAACACAACCTTACAAAATTACCCCTACGATGTTCCCTTGCGGAACCTGATGATCAACACGCAACAAGTCCAACTGTACGTTATTGCTTCGAAGGAGATGCCGAGGAGCGCCTATCAACCACAATCTGCAACTGCGAATCCGGCATGTACCCAGCCGGCGTAACGGGTCTCGCTCGAACATTCGCCCCGGCCGCTTGAACCGGAGGCCGGTTGTTGGGTCCACCTCTGTTGTCCTTATAGCAAGCACAGATCATCACAAGGCTGCAAATCGTTATGAATCCCCCGAAGAGCACAACGTATTCAAGGGTAGGCGGCGTGTGCCGCATGACGTCCTTCAGGCACGCTTCCGCCGTTGCGTTTGGTGCTGACACGTAGCACCCAGTTGTGCTCCGACTAGATATTGCGCCAATGCTGAGTCCGCTGTTTCTGGCCCATACACTGGGGCCGCGTTTCCAGCCGCCCTCGGGGAACGGACTTTCCGGAAGTGACGTCACGAACTGGCCGCACTGCGTCATGATCTTGAGGGTGAGGAGCGTCGTGTAGGTGGAGCCAAAGGCGGGGTCGCGTTCGACCCTGTAGTACCTGGAAAGGGAAGCTCGTTTGAATCGAAATCCTGAATATTTAGAGCAACGGAAAGAACATAAGTGATCAGATGTGTTCGAATATGCACCAACAGTCACTGATTGACATGAAGATCAGAGGCAGAGCTTCTACCCAGATTGAGGAGGGCGAAAAGCAGGGGCTGAAGTAGGGGCTTGCAAGGATGTCAGGTCTGGCCTCGGCGCATGAACTGGACAGCTTTCGTGAGAAGAACAAGCGATGACAGAAAGAGAGGCAACCTTACTACGCTCCAACGATCAGGCAGGTCAAAAAACCCTACAGCAAACGATTTTAGCTTTCCTCCTAACGAAGCAGGTTAATGGGACATGGAAAAGGTTAGCGACCGTGACTTGAGACCCGCAACAATCTTAGAAAAGCCAGCAGGATGCTCTCCTGAGATATGTTCTTGTACAGTTTTTACATTTACACCGTGGTAGAACCGTCCACGATTTGATTCTGTTGTTTTCTGTGGAATGCAATATTTAGGAGCCAATACTCACTGATCTGAATTCTTCACGTCGCGCCAGTAGCTGTAATCAACGAAGAGTTGCAAGTCGCTGCTGTAGCGACCGCTGTATGGTTTGTCACACAGAAAGGTCGCCGCTCCGTCGGCCTTCATTGTACTGCCGACTAGAAGAGCGACAAATAGCAGGAGCCGAGTGGCCTTGAAACTAGAGGGGGCTGCAGCCATGGACCGGCGGTTCATCTGCACGTGAGGAAAGTGTGTTGTTTCGTTAGTGGATAAATGACGAGTTGCATCACAATGACATGGTTGTTTTAAAAATCACTGTTGACTTGACTTGATGATGACTTTGCTTTTGACTACGGGTTTGTAAAGCAAGGCTTTCGAGATCAGGTGATCTGTTGAGAGTTGCATAAGGAAAAGGAAAAGACCGCAGAGGTACATTCTGAAGAAAGGAAGGATGTCTTGCTCTTGCATCTCGCCGAATGCTTCATAGACACCGAAACTTCAATCTTATCGATGCCGAATGAGAAGCTGTGCCTCAAACACGCTGTGGACAAAGGTTTCCAAAACGAGGAAGCCATCAATCAAGGCTAACATATCCATCCAGTTCCATTCAATCGCAAAATAAACGCATCAGCTTAAGCCTTACAGAAACGTTCAAGACAGAATGAATGTGAATCATTCGAGGCCAAATAATTTCAAAACCGACTCAAGAAGGGTCTCTCTAAGTTTAAGCAATCTTGAACTCTCAGAGGAGAGACACCGAGGACCACTAGGTCAGCTAGAAAGAAGGACAAGTTTGAACAAAATTGCACGCTTTCCACGCACCATCAGGTGAGGAGGAAATCAAATGAGGATTCGCATCAAGATAGAGAAAACGTCAGCGGAAAGCTTACATTGCAGCCGGCGCCAATCCAATGCATCCTCTTCTGCTTCCAGGTACAGTTGAGCTCTGTTGAGCAGGCTGTTGATGCGGATGTGGAGCAGAACGCAGCAGGTGCGTGATATCTTTTTGGCAGGAGCTAATGCGTGAGAGGAATTGTCTGCGAAGTCCGCTGAAAGAGGTGATTTGATTTATTGAATTGGACGAAAGACGTCGGAACTCAAGCAAGTGCTAGTACTTTATACTCCCTACAACACACTCCATTTGACCTGCTGTGGCAGCAGAATTCCTTCACTGCTCTCACCAGATAACTCATCTTTCTGATAACTTCAAGGCAGAGAGCGTCTGTTGGAAAGTCAGCTTCCCGGAAGCCGGTCAGAATACCTCCTTCCACGAAGGATCATGTTACTTGCATGCGCAGGGCGGCCCAGCTAGCGCGCGGGCGCCGCGCCTTGTATTGTTACCGTTGAACGTCGGGGCCGCGGGGGTTTGGAAGAGGTTTTGAATTGACGGCGCGGCTGAAGAACGCAACGCGCCGCCGCCGCTATGCGCCGCGGCCGCACGCACTAGTACCGGTCGCCGAGTTTGAGAGCCTGAGGGCAGATAGGGAATGAGGCAAGCTTCGGATCCATTAATTCGGATCCTTTTAAGAATGGCCACTGATGAGGGAGCTGTATTCGTCAAGACTATCAAATTTAGAAGCCAAGTAAGACGGCAACGAATGAGAGGCCTCCAGTGAGCGAGACGCAGTATGAAGACCGGGACGACGCTTCTGATTTCTATAACTCGCTCACGTGCGTTAAAAAGTCCGGGCCTTGAAGGAAAGGAAAGAGTACTGGGCGTTTTCCCCCCCCCTCTCGTGAATCATTTCGGGGCAGATTGGGTTCTGGCGTCTTGACGCCTGTGATGCATCACAAAAGTCGCTGCAAAGGCGCCTTGCAGCAGCAGCATTAAAATTTTCATAGCTGACCTCAGTTATAAAAATGTCGGACCATGCCCGTGAAGCACTGGGATCTCTTGAAAGTGTCAGTTGGCCCAATTTTATTTGGAACAATTTTATGTGGAAAGTCTGAGTAAGTGAATGCGTACTCATTGATTGTTCTAGTTGGCGTACCTCTCAAGTGTCAGACTCTCGGGTATTCAACTTCGGCATCTTTTAGAAGATTCTCAAGATCTATTTTTGCCTCTGTCTCGATTCTACGCTTTGTCTGTGCTCACTCAGTGGTGGGCAGTGATTAGACCAGCTTGGGATAGCAGTCAGGACCTATGGGTGCGGTTCGCTAAGTTCTTCAAGAGATACCAGGTGGGCCGGATCCCCAGTCCGTGGCGGCAAGTTCAGTCTTACAGCTCGAGGACACAGCTTTCAACGGGTCCCATATCGTCGCGTCGCCGTTCACTAGTCAGTTCTGATAGGGATAAACTTAAATAGTGCTTCGAAGTACGTATTAAATCTGGTCTTCAAGTGTCCTGACGATTCGAAAAGTTGAACCGCTGACGATCGAACCCAGGATGTTTTCCAGCGACTCCGCTAAAATGGAAAGAGGAGAGCGCGATGAGCCCTTGATCTCAGGTAAATTTAGGCCTCAGAACTTCAACCTTGGAAGACGAGGGCTCAGCGCATTTCACCGTAAAAAGGGCAGCTTCAAGGCGATGGCGCGCTCACCAACTGATCTAGCATTGAAGTTATCGAAGGTCGCCGGAACTTTTTCATGCTGAGACCATAGCAAGCTCCAAATTGCAGCGAGTTTTTTGTGCAGCGTCGATCCTCAATCCGGAACGGTGGCTCGAAGCAGGAGAGGTACTCAAACCAATCTTGCAGCAAGGGGGCATGCAGCTGACCAGAGAGAGGAGGCAATGCAAGCATTGCAACACTGATGTTTTGGAAAGAAACGTGTTGCAAGGAGTACGTGGGCTCGCAACATCTGCGAAGCCCCTCAGGGTCCTAGCGGAGAGCTGTAGCTGGATAGCCTTCACTTTGATTAGTTGAATACATTTCTCCAACTTGCAGAGAAAGAGGAAGCGCAAAAAGCTTTCAATGCATGTAAGCTAAGTGCTCAAATGCAGGCTTCAGACCGATTGAGAGAAAGGTTCTTTCCCCCAATAAGCTGTTGAGTGCAGGTTCGAACGCAAGATCTGCTTGGCCCTTTCACTGCATTCTAATCAAAACGAACCTTCAAGGCAAAGAAGAATCGAGCAGAATGGCTTCTCCACAAGCAGCGCCCTCTGCTTCGAAACGCGCGCCCTGCGCCCGAGCGTCCGCTCCCATTGAACCCTTCAACCCCCCGAACAACAGCTGCAGCAGCTTCGGAGACCTGCCGCCATGCATGCAGCAGCGCATCTTCTCGCTCCTCCCAACGGACGCGGCCGACATTCTGCGCGCGTCGGGCGTCTGCCGCGCGTGGGCCGCGGCCGCGGACGACGCGCTCGCGGCCGCGCCGCGCGTCGGCTTCGCCGTCGCGATCTGGGGCCGCCGCTCGCTGCTCTCGTGGCTGTCCTCTCTCAGCACCGTGCTCAACAAGTGCGCGCGCCTACGCGACCTCGAGGTTTCGCTCGCGTGCGCGCTCCCCGAGCCGCTCGAACCGGTCGGGATCGAGGTTTTGCTGGAGGGGTTTCTGCGCCAGCTGGCAACACTGTCCGTCGTCAAAACCCGCCTGGAAGGGTTTGCGCTCAGCCTGTCGGGCGACCTCGCGCAGCCGACGCGCGGGCTCGACTTCGTCCTCGCGGCCGCGGCGCTCAAGCGGTTAGCGCTAACCAACGTGGTCATCCCCGCGCACGGGCTAAACCTCCGGCGCACCGACCGCTGCGCGGCGTCGCTGGGCGCCCTCGCGCTCACGGGCGTCGAGATCGCGGCCGACGACCTGTGCGCGCTCGTCGCGTACCTGCGGGGTTTGGAGGTTTTGGAGCTGTGCGGCACGGGCGCCGCGGACCTGCACGTGGCGTCTGAGGGTTTGAGGGTTTTGCGCGTGTCGAACCACGCCGTGGGCGTGCTGGACCTGAAGACGCCCAAGCTGGAGGATCTGCGAGTGGAGAAGGGGCGGGCGAACATGGGCTTCACCCTGTGCACCGAGGTGAGGTACTTTCCGGTGTGAGCTCGGTTTGTTTTGTTTGATATGCGAAACAACGGTCAGGACAAACTCAACCAGGTGCAGCAAAGTGTTGTAACGGCGAAGCGAATTCTCTTGGGAAGCCCTGTCAAGCGTACTTTCTAGAAACCAAAACCGGTTCGCTGCAGATGTGCGCTCGCAAAACGTTTATTGACGGAGGTATGAAATCGTGGGAAGAATTCACAGAAAGGGTATCTCTAAATGTGCCCATCTAAGTAATTTTGACTCCCAATCTAGAGTGCCTCGTAAGCGGACGTTTTTGACGGACCGTCTTTCTCGTTCCTCTGGAATTTTGGAATTTCGAGATATCTACGTGGACGCCTCTCCATAAACAGATCGTACCTAAGTGTTCAGCGTTCATAACAGGGTTCACAAATCAGAAGCTTAATGCGACTTGTTGACAGAGCTCAAAGGGGGCTTTCAGTCCTTGCAGAAGGCTGGTCAAAACCGCGCCGCCAAGAAAACTTTCGGTAGATAGCTTTTCTACTATCGGACACGTTTGCATCCCTTCTTAGCTGAGCACTAGAATGCAAACCCACCTACGGCTGGTACTGGGCGGTTTTCGAACCGACATTCCAATTCAAAAGTTTTGGCACCGTTCCGTCCGTCAGGCAAATCCAATCTGAGCATCGCAGCTCGACGTAGCGGATACGGTCCCTGATCAAAAGGTTGACTGAAAGTCAAAGTCAGAACGCGACTCGGAGGTGCGCCCCAGTTTTGGGCGGGCCTTCCACAAAACACTTGAAAAGTGGTGCAAAGGATCCAAGTGCAGATTCGACACCCGCCGGCTGAGAACGCAGCTACATTTTTACCCGATACACTTCGTCAAAGTCAAATTCAGAAGGGACGCCAATGCAGGTTACAGGAGTGCCAGACTGCGCCTACTCGAGGGCGGCCCTCCAAACTTCCGGTTGGGTCTGTGCGACTGATCGCATTTCATTCTCCCGCAGAATATGTCCAAGTCTCGCCGGCTGAGCATCGCAACTACGGCGGAGCCAACACGATCACTAGATTCGCCATCAAAAGCAGAACGCACGAGATCAAAAAGCCGGAAATGTATTGAGTGCGCCGGGCCTTCACATTCCTGGCCAGTTTTCTGCTAATGAATGAATACGAACAATCTCGCAGGGCAAGTCGACTTCCTCTGACTGTGCATCGCAGCCACGAGGGACCCAATACAACTCCTGACAGCAATCACGGGAATCTGAAAGTCCCGACGCAAATGTTAAATGCATTCCTGGGTGCGCACATGCTTGGGCGGGCGATCAATACCCACAATCATTTTGATTCTCCCGCAGGGCAAGTCCAAGATCCGCCGCCCAAGCGTCGCAACTACAATTGCGCGGAAACGCGCATCCCCTGTTATGTCTGAACGCTTGCAAACAAAAGTTATACGAAACGCGAATTGCGAACTGCGAACTGCGCCCACTCTTCGGTTTTTCCAAACCAGATTTTGAACTCGCGTAGGGCAAGTCCAAGATTCGGCGGCTGAGCATCACGCTGCAGGGCCTGGGGTACCTGCGCATCTTCGGCGAGCTGCGCGAGGTGGAGGCCGTGACGCTGTCCGCCAACTGCTGGGACTGGACCGGCAACATCGCGTCCGTCCTGCAGGTGCGCGGAATCGGAACGGGCGGAACGGTCTTGTGCTTTTGTTCTGAAAACGAATGTTCGGAACTTCTTTGTTTGACCCCTGATAGACACACGGAGGGATGACGACAGGGGGAGATGAAGATTGCGAAGCCCTGTGTGCTTCTCTGGAAACGCTTTAAAGGGAGAACTTTTTCAAAGACCAAACCGTGTTCACCTATGTTTTTTCAAGGTTTGTACAATATACGACGGGGTTCTCAGTTGCGCCCGTGTCTATGTTGCCAGATAACAGCTCCACTTTCGTTCGTCTTGAAAGCAGCCTTGCAACAAGCAAAACCTCTCTCTGTTAGCCAGCATGTCAGACAGCCCAGGAGTCTCCAGCAAGGAGTGCCTTACTTTCCTCGGTTCCCTACAATCCCTTCATCTCAAATCCCTAAAGTTTGAAATCATTCCATCTGCGGAACGGCAGACGAATCCGTCAGGAGTTCAAGACTCAAGAATTCGGAATTGGACTCAAGCTATCGCAGAACAGCCCCCCATTCTGACAGACCCCCCCTTGAATCTCAGTGTTGTTATCACTCTGCCTGCAGAACAGCCCCCGCCTGCTCCACCTCGCCCTCGAGGCCGCGCGCGACACCCCCCCCGACTACCCCGACATCGGCAACATGCTCGCGCGCATGACCACCGCCGCGGAACCGCTCGACCTCTTCTCCTTCCCCGGTCGCTTCCCCCGGCTCGTCTCCCTCACCCTCCCGCTGGGCATGACGGAGCAAATGGTGCTCGGGGCGCGCGTTTCCGGCGACCAATCGCCACAGTTCGCCGCGCTGGAGTCGCTGGAAGTCGCTATCTGGCAGCCCAGCGCGGCGCATCTGCGGTGGCTGGAGGGCCTCGTCGAGGCGGCGCCCCGCCTGAAACGCGTTGCGATTGCGATCGTGGCCAAGTGGGACAAGGCCCTGCTGCACTTCAGTCTGCGCCAGTGTAGCGCGAAAGCGTGCATCGAGTATCTGGACGATACCGGAGAGAATCTGTACACGTTCTTTCACGGACTGTGCGCGCTGCAGAAGCGGAGCCCGGGCGTCGACATCGCGTGGGAGAAGATCGAGTAGGGATTCCGTTCCGGTAGCGGGTTCCGCAGCGGGAGTGCGAGGGAAAAAGCCTGGTGGCGGAAGATTGTAGCCGAAGGGTGAGAGGGTCGACCTTTGGAAGGGTGGCGAAAGATTGTGTTTTTGGGTTCTCAAGAGGATTGAGATTTGTCAGTTCGTACGGTAGTTCAGATGCCGGGGAATGCATTTCCATGTTTGAGAGGAAGATAATTGAGGAACTCCAATCAGAATTTTTGCGATGGTGGCGACAGAGTCAATTGAGTCTGAACACTAAACGTGTCCTAGGCATTCACAATCACATTCACTGGTGACGTTGGGCCCGTGAACCGCACTGACTACACATCAAGCTCAGGCTGTTGTTGGGTCACCGGATAGATCCGTCAAGGCTCCTTTTCAATCATGCATCATGTACCAAAAGTCCGACATTTCATGACGATAGCATTGTGAACTTAGTGTCTGCCTAGCATCGTTGCTGTTGAAGCAGATTGACTAGAAGAATCAGTGTATACTCGTATGGGCCCGAATACAATGTCATCGGGCCAGTATCTATCTTTGTTGTAGTACGTAACGGTGTGGAACCAATTGAGACATGACGCTTGCGCAGCCCGAGGCGTGGAGCTAGCTGCGATCCGTCGCGGCGACACGGCGAGCATGCGTCGGATGAAAGTCGAACAAGCTTGAGATGGTATATATAAGCCAAGATATATAACAGTGGGCTCCAACCAATCGACCGTCCGCAAACCAGGCATCATTATACTTCGAGCCCGACCGATACGTGGAGGCAAGAAAGTATGATATATCCTTCATTTTGGTGTATGGACTCCAACGAAGGCCACATGCTCATCAGAACGAGTCTGCAAAGTGGCCTACCACAGTGATGCAAGAGCTTCAGAGCCGAGGTGGACCCCATGAGGATTCATCACATGCAAAGGACTGACCCTCAGCGGGCCTTCGTTGAAGCGCTTTAGAAGGTGGCAAGCATATGGCGAATGTTACCATCTCCAGCTCAGAACGCAGGGCACGGTTGGGTCTAGATCGTCTCAACCAGTGCATTCTTTCCAACAGCATGTGCACTGGCATTCAACACACGGAGGCGGCATGCAAAACAATTTTGCACGTTTAACTTTACACACTCGGCAGGTCCGTCTGCCGCCACCGCCGGTACGGCCCTTTCACCCCCTCCTCGCTCTCGGCCATGCCGATGCCAGCCGACCCGCCCCCGTCATACCCAACGTAATACAGCCGCCACCGGTCGCCCCCCATGGGCACCAAACACGGCCTGCAAACACTATGATTATCCCACACTGACGTCACATCCGACGGTGCGAAAACGACGCCCTCCGCCTTCGCCCACGACCCCAACCCGTCCTTCGACTTCGCGACGCCGATGCGCCGCCGCCCGTCCCCCCCCACCATTTCGAACGCCATGAAGTACCCCCCGCCGCGGGGGTCGGGGACCACGTGGGGAGCGGCGACCCCTCTCTCGTCAAACGCCCCGGGAGCGTCGCCCGGTTGGAGCACCCGACCAAGCTTCTGCCACCGGACGCCCTCGCGAGACCGCGCGAGACCGATGCTGAAGGTGTTGCTGTTCGTGTCGAGGGAGTGGTAGAACATGCGCAGGTCCTGGGGGACGTAGAAGACGACCTGGGGGTACAGGGGGGGAAGAAGAGTGACGACAGCAGTCAGTGTATATTTTTGAACAAATTCTGAAAGTGTCGAGGGAGTGGTAGAACATGCGCGGGTCCTGGGGGACGTGGAAAACGACCTGCGGGGACGGGGGACCAGAAGTGACGTCAATAATTGATGTAACGGCGTTTAGCGGAAGTTCGAAGGGCGTGCGCAGGTCCTGGGGTATTTGGAAGACGACTTGGGAGCCCAGCGTGACGTCAGCGGTCAGGTGTAATGTCACCAAGCGATGTTAGAGAAAGCGCACATCGGCAATTTGCGGCGGATTTCAGCTCGGGTTCTGGAGCTGGCACTTGGGAATTTCCCCCGATAAGGTCGGATGTGTTCAGCAAGCATTTGCAGGCTTGCTGAGGTTGAATCGCTATTTGCCGGCTCTCAACTGCTGCCAACCCTCCAGGTCCGTCAAGAAACTGATTTGTAGCAATGCAAGTTGAAAAGCAGGGGATTATTTGCGGTTCCAAAGCGGAAGAGCGTCTGGTACATGCTGTTGTGAAAGAAAGGCGTTGGACGAAAAGCAGAGGGCCCCCGGTCCAGATCCAAAAGATCGTCAAAAGCGAAGCCAGTGAGGATGTCTGGAGCGGCATTATCTATCAGCTAAAGTCGATCCAATGCCCGAATGTCGAACGCCTCGAATGTCCAACACCCCGACCAAGCGGATTTCGTACTTGAGAAAGACAAGCACGGTTCCTACCGTCATTGCTTCAAATCTGCATTCGTGCCAATAGATTGACTGCTTCGAACAGATACGCGGGTTCAAAATCGGTCTTTCGGAAAGGCCATACAAAATCTTCCCCGAGAACCCGTCAAGCAAAAAGAAGCACCGTCAAGTAGCTCTTGAAGCAACCTTCTGGGAAGCGACCAGCTTCACAAAAGCTTTGCAGAGAATGTCACCTGCGGGCAACCAACGAAGAGCGCGTCCCACTCGCCCTCCTCTCCAACGTCAAAAAGCGCCCCCGAGTGGTGTTCCCCCTCGATGCGCGCCCAGTTCTTCCCGTCCTGGCTCATTGCAAGGCCCGGCCGCTGCCGGAGTCCCTCTACGATAGTGCCCGGAGGGGATCCCCCGGGCATTGAAAGCAACTCGGGCAGGGGGAGTTCTTCGGCGTCGCCCCCAGAGTAGTACAGCCAGTAGACGCCGGACTGAGCTCGGACCTGCGAGCGAAAACCTCTCTTTGAAAAGCGATTCAAGTAAAACCTGATAGAAAGTCTTCAACGTAGCTGAATCTTATTTCGAGTTTTTCCACGATAGTACCCCGGAGGAGACTTTCCGGGCATTGCCAGCAGCTCCAGCGGGGGAAGCTCCTCGGCGTGGCCCCCAGAGTAGTAAAGCCAGTAGACGCCGGACTGGGCTCGGACCTGCGAGCGAACTTTCAATCCTGATGCAATCCTTGTGACTTCAAATGGAAGGAAGTTTTCTTTCAAAGTCCTTCTATCTAAGGGACACCAGAAGAGATTCAACTTCGAACGATGGAAAGTGGTCTAGGGTGGGTTTATTTTAGACTGCGCCCTTCACAGATAGCGCAACCAGGTGAGCTGAACCGACCAAGGATTGACAACGCGTCAGGTTGAGAGGACTCGGATAGTCATTGTCATGCAGGGAGGATGTGTCCGTCTGACTGCATGCGGGCTTGCTCGCAGGAGTGGGAGGAGTTACATCCAAGGAGTGCTTGCTTTGAAAAGACACGCTTCCTTTCATTGGCCACCGAGGTACTGCACTTGTGCAACCATTCGACTGCTTCTCAGCGCCTGCTTTGCACCAACAAAGAAGATCCTTTCATGTGCTACTTAAAAGCGGGCAGAATCAGTGGGATTGTGAGGTTTTTTTGCAATGTCAATGAACTCAAACATGATACCAGCTTCGATCAATGACTCACCACTTGACTGGACATGATTTGGACGTCCGACACACGGACATGGCGCGTGTCAAAAGTCCACCAGTCCTGATTGGGCTCCATCACCATGCCGGTGCCCCCGTTGCCGTACTGGTCCGTCACCACCTTCTCGCCGCCCCTGCCAAAAAAGGTTGAACAATTGAGGCATGCTAACGGCGAGCAGCAAAGAGAGTGAGGAGTTTGACGGGATCCAAATGTTGGGATACACCTTCTTGTTGGCCCCGCAAAGAAGGAGTGGAGGAGTTTGACGGGATTGGCTGCACCAAAAGCGACCCGTTGAAGCTCTCTGCCCTTTCATGACCGCCCGCTTCCGTGAGATCCTCAGTTTCTCAGACAAGTCCAAATTGTTGCAATTGCGAGAGAAACATATCTGGCCTGTGATGCCATTGTGCAAGTAGTAAGAAAGTCGGGCCCTCTATTTTGAAGTCTGATTAGGAGCGGATGATAGCAGCTGAAAAGTAAAGATTGTAAGACGATCGATCCCAGGAATCGAAGTGAAAACGTTCTGGCAGATTTGGTGCATTAGGAGCCAGCGACCTCTGATTCGACTTTCCAATGGACTAGAACGAGATTGGGTGAGAGGGATGCGCCTCGCCTGTGTGAGAAGGTGCTCACCTCGACCAATGAATGCCGTTCGACGACGTCGCCAGCCCCAGGCTCCCAAAGCTGGGGTCCGCTAGCGGCATCGCTTTTCCCTCATCAGAAGAGGCCCTGCCGTGGTACCACATGCACCACCGCTCCTCATTGTCGCTGAGATACCGCCTCACAACAGGGCCTCCCACTGCATGAGAGTCCCAGGCCCCCGCTTCTCCCGCGGGAAAGATCAGGCCCTCAGCATTTTCGCCTGTTGGGAGGGGTTTTCTCCGCTCAAGGGGCTGGGAGACTGCTGATTGGGAAGCGGAAGGAGGAGTGCAAGGTTTCTTGTGAGAGAGGGGAGTGATGGGGGAGGTGTGGAAGAGATTGGCAAAGTGAGCCGGCGAAGTACCGGTTGCGAATTGTGTGAACCTTAAGGGTTTGCTTGACCTGCGGAGAATTGCAGACACGTTGAAATGATTGGCGCAATGTCTTGCAACGACGCATTTAACAGGAAACCCAGTCTTTGAGGTAGCAGGGGATGACTTGCATGCCCTCGCAGCCAATGAACTGTGCAACAGCGGAGCGGAGGCCGTCGAATTGGCCATGGCTGAGCGCCCCTCGTTGCTAAGCAATGCTGGCGTTTCTGAACATAAGTTGCATGCACAATTGCCTCTCCCAAAGCTCCCAGAAAATTGTTAGAATGCGCCACCATCAAGCTGCGCCAAACACAGGAAATGCTGCATTTGACCTGCCTCGTGTTATGAAGTTAGACGCACGAAACCCCCTATCTTAGGAGAAAGTTATCGTAACCCGCGCTTTGACCCCTAGGTTCTTCTTCGACTCTGCAGACCAATCAAACCTGGGTTCGATTCTTAACCCCTTTGGATAACTCGGTCAACGTTGAGTCCCGGGTTAGAGCTGCATTGAAAGGAGGGGCAATGCAGGAGCTGGGCACCATCCCACATACCTACCTTGCTTCAGGCTTAGGAATGGCTTAGGTTCAAGGGTTCTCCATCGTGCGCCATGGCATCTCTAGCAAGCAGACGAGCTTGCAACTGTGGCACATTTCTGCCGCGGCAGCCTGACTCGCAGCATGGCATCAATGTCACATACCCCAGCTTTCTGCTGCCTGCAAAAACAAACTCAAAATGGGCGCAGCCCGCATGCGCAGCTTCCAATGAAAGCCTTGCTAAGCGGAGCCAAAAGCGAAGCAGTCTTGTATCATGTCTACACGACAGAACGTCTCCTGGTTGTTCAGAAAGATTTTTGAAGGAGCACAGGCTAGGTGGAGCCCGGGAAAGTGACACACGGAAGCGGTCAGTTGCAAGGAGAGCAACTGAAGATGGCGATGGAGCTTCTTCAGGCAAGTCCGGTCTTGTTTCTTTCTTTTGAAGAGAAGAATTGAATAGAATCAATATATCATCTCAAGGTCTAGTATGATCTACAGACTTACCATTTTGTCTGCACTCAATGGTGGTGCTGCTCCGTACGTGAGCAATGAAAGGCGTCTTTTGGAACGAATAGGTCTGCTGTAATGTGGGAGAAGAAAGCAAATCTCACACTCTTTTACGTTTTCCTTGGTTGGGTTTCGGCTTATCTTTGAAGCTAAGACCGTGTTTTGGTCAAGGTTCTCTTCATCAAGTTTGGTGTTAATAGATCAGCTCCCTTCATTATGAATGCCATCATCAAAGTAGCAATCATATTCAGCTTGCGTTCTTTCTTCTCCCAGCACAAAGTACTGCCACCGTTGACATCAGGATCGTGAAAAGAGCTGCCAATTCTGAGGGCGTTTAGCCCCTGTTCCTCCACAATCTTCTGTCACTAACATGAAGGGTCCAACAATGAATGAAAGGGTGACCTTTCTGACATGACTCACTTGTTCACATTTACTGCTCTTAGTACCTGCTTGATCAAAAGAACTAGATAGAGACTGTTGGTCCAACCGTGGTCAAATCGTCACAGCCGCTGTCTCCCCCATCTGCTCTATTCTGCGGCCTGCAACAAACCTTCTGCTTATTTGAAGTCACATCCCGTAGCTTCTCTAAGTCAACACCTGCTGCATTCACCTTCGCCCAGCGATTGTCCCAGAAGCTCCCGACGTCCTTATCTTGGCCTGCCTTGTCAGAGTATAACAGTGTCAACTCAAAGCAATCCGTTTGGTCTTGCAGAGCCGCTGCAAGTGGAGAATGGAGATACCGTCACGGTTCACTACCGATGCATGACCAGCGACGGCAGGGTATGCTGCTGAAATTCCAAAGTACCTTCGCGCTCTTCATGTGTTTGTCCTCATGTCAAAAGCGCCATGCTGACGTCATGTTCTTCCTGGACCTTGTGAAAACCATCTGATGAATCTTTGTGTCGGTTCCCCGTTTACTCACTCATGCGCACCATCCCTGCTCTGCTCCTTTTCAAGTTTGTTTCCATCGCAAGAGTCCAAATATGGTTGCAGGGTTACAGACAGGTGCCAGGCAGACGTGATCGATCCGTTCTTTCAAGGCGTGATGTTTCCCATCCATTGAAACAAGAAGAGCAGGCAAATGGCTGTCAGCTTATCAAGCGAGTTGCAAAGTTAGAGGGGGGAGAATGAATGCAGTGTCCACTACAAATACTTCGCCCTAATAGCCATGAGTCCACCAAGTTCATGATGAAGTCTAGCAGTCACAAGTGCTCGGACGTTCTCGATCTGGCAGAGAACCCAACTGTTCTTCCTGCAGTTGCTGCACTCCTCAGACGCCCAAGAGCCCCTCACTTTCGTCTCAGGGGCGGGGGACGTCGTCGGCAACCCGTTGTTCCAGGTGTGCCTTCGTGCTTTTGGTCATTAGTCGCTCTGGCCCCATCTTGCCAACAAGACTGAAACCAAGAACGAATCGAAACTTGAAAAGGTCTAATTGGGGCTAAGCCGAAGAAGAAAGAGTGGGGCGTAGGTTGGAGGGTTGAGAAAGATCCGAAGTGCAGAATGTTCCGTCCGCAGTCAATTCGATCAGATGAAATTACGTGGTCAACTTCATCTTCCTTTACCGATTTACTACAAAGTGCTTCTCCAAGTAGCTGGGTGTTCATAACCTAGGCAAAACCTACGCAATAACTGCTTGCCGCAGCTAAGAACGTAATGTTTCTAGGCTGGTTATGTGTTCAGGCTCGGTGATCAATCTAGGCTGTCTTGCCTGAGGCGAACTAACGCAACCCCAATCACATGATGGAAAGTTGCGCTTTAGAGAAGCGTCGTTTCTGAGAAGCAGAAACATATCACGCTTCTGGGCCCGTTCTGAAGAAAACATACAAACGGTCTCCAAGTTGCAGGTGTCTCGATTTCCGTCTTGCTTCCAGGTTTTCAAGCTTCTTTTCTAACGTCTCCCCTATTCCGGCTGCAGGAGTTTGACCAGGCAACGCGGGATCTGACCGTGGGCGAGAAAGGCTACGTCCAAGTGAGCTTTGGGGACAAATGACTTTCGGTATCATATTCCCGACTTTCTCCTAGCGACTCTGGTTCTTGCGTTTAACTTGATTCTTCACTTCCGCATAAATCGAAGTCGGTTTTACTATTTTTTCTTTCTGTTTAAAATCACGCCTTTTGTGAGACCCTTCGTCTCCTGTTGATATAGACATATGCCAAGCTACGTGGACACCTACAGCGTGAACGTTGTTCACAGTAACCTTGTCGCATTCCGCCGTCGTGAATTTGAAAGTTCGATTGCTGTACACGAAGTTCTCTGCGACCCTCCCGATTTAAGTATTCGTGTTTTGCCAGACTCATCCGCTTCACTTCTGCAATGTCCCAGGCTGTGGGCGACGAATGGACGGAGGACCTGGTCTTTGACGTGCCTAGGGACCACGAAGAGGTCGCCCGTCTCGAGGCGAGCGTCGAGGGCACCGACGAAGGGCCGCTAAAACCGGGCTCCGTGGTGCAGCTGATCAATGGAAACCCGGCCATCGTCGTGGCGGTAAGTACGCGACTATCTTCATACTCTGTGAATGTTCTTTGTGTCCTACACGTTGGGGACAGGTTGTTGTACGCAGTTTCAAAGACCTGGGAGAGTCTCTAAAGAAATAAAGCATCGTTCACAACGAAGCATCGTTGTCAGAGGAGGTGGTTATTCTGATAATCTGATTACAGCTGATACAATTCTCATTGGGATTCAAACGGTGCATCCGGTTCAGAAAGACAAGCGCTTAGCAAGGCTGTTCTTGCTGCGGCTTTTGATGAAAGTTGAGCAACGTAAGTTCTTTCTGAACCGCATCCTGGGAGCGTTTACCCTCTTAGTAACAACCAATCAGGTCACCAAGCGGCAAGTTGGTGTGAGCGAATTCACTTGGACACGGCCAAGGCTGGAAGCAGATTTCGCAGGACCGGTTTAGGGGCGGCAGTGTGTTCTTGTGGTGACAACTCTGTCTCGTTTGTGCAGATTGACGATGAGCACGTCCGAATAGATGCAAACCACCCTCTTGCAGGGTCGACGTTGAGTTTCGAAGTAGAGGTTGTGAACGTTGAGAAGGCTAGGAAAACAGTCACTTCGACTCCTTCTTAGCATCTTAGCCAAAGAGACATACGTTGAAGTTAGAGATGTGTCGAGTCATTTTGCACGGAGATCTGGCTATCATTGAAAGATATACGATTGGCAATGAACTGGCATCAGACTCAGAAAGTCTCACCACGATCCAAATAACAAAGCTGAGACGAGTACGACTACGGTTGCCTAAAAGCCGCCGTATTGCGTCTTCTTCGGCCTTTCTCAAGGCATACATCTGAGTACTTAAGAGGACTTAAGAGTGCCCGATTGTTCTATGGTCCAGATTCCTCATCCCACATGCACGGTACAACTCTGGTTGCAACTGCATTCATCATCGGCCACATTGTCTCTTACCACATGTATTGCCTTCACATGACAGATGCGCCCACGATGCGCCCTACTTGCGACTGTTATGAAGAGGTGACAAGTGTAACAATTGACCACTTCATGCATCATGTGAAGCTGATGAGTCATGACCAACAAACTGAGCTGCCCGCCATGAACAAACAACCCGGCTAAGAATATCAAATACTGTATTCGACTGACGACAGAGCAAACTCGAGAACAGCTAGATCAGAAGCGCTATGCACCTGGCCGGGTGTGCACGCGTTCATTAATACGAAGTGACCATCAGAATCACCTTCGCGCCAACTGTTGTCGATGTTCATGCCCGGGACTCTAGATTCTTCTGAAACCTCTGCTGGTACAATGACCCTCCGATCGACAGATACAGTTCATGAGAGCAATATCGGACGGCTGAACGCGTTCCCTTGACAGTTGGCTCCCAGGTAACAGTGAAAGCCAGCCCGAACAAAATAATTGAATTGAGAGGGTGCCCTGCTTCTTCAATCCTGAGGAACCGTAGGAGCTCAAAATTCTCCGTTTAGCAAGAAACGCAGCTTGGGAGGTTGCGGGGTTGCACCATCAGCAGACCATTTGTTCTCCGCACTGCACAGAGGCATTGCATCAGTTATCATGGCGACCACCACCGAGGATGTCAGGCTCGTGAGCGAGGGGGAGACGGAGACCTTTGCGTTCCAGGCGGAGATCAATCAGCTGCTGAGTCTGATTATCAACACCTTCTACAGCAACAAGGAGATCTTCCTCAGGGAGCTGATCAGCAATGCTTCAGATGTGAGCTATTGACTTCTGACCTGTTTGAGTTCATGAACAATGTCATGGTAGACGATCGTCAATCCGTTCCACACATGGATATAGGCGTGCTCCTTGTGGTAGATCTGTTGATGGTTCCTGTGGATCACGGGCTTTGCAAGTCCGATGTAATGTCCTCTTAGCTTTGTTGGCGGGAGATGCATTTTTGGTAATGCTTTCAGCACCACAATTGGATCGGGAGTCTAGCGTTTGCCTTTTGGTAACTATCTGTGTGGTGGCAGCCCAAGGGGCTGAAGTCTTCTACTATTCTGGCTCCTGGCGTGTTTTGTTTCCTGTTTGGTAATGATCCACTACTTTGTTTGAGATTGCTGCAAGCTGTTTTGGATCCAGCGGTAATCGTATGTCCTACTGGCACACTGTGACAGTTGTGAATTGTCTAGGGCTCTCTGCTGCTAAGTGTCTTTCCTTGTTGACCATAGCAGGGCTTCTCTATATTGACCGCTTAATGGTTTCTTCCTTTTATTTTCAGTCACAACCTCATAATTGGCAAGCTGCTATTAACACCATTTGGCGTTTCTTATAGTCACTTTTCCTTTTGACGCCAGTCAACCTGCACATCTTCCTCATACAACGTCTATTGCGCTTCTCGGGGTACTGGTAGAAGGTTATTGTTTGGAGCTACCAGATCTCCGCTAATCTGCAGTTTATTCTCTGCAGGCATTGGACAAGATCCGCTTTGAGAGCCTCACTGACAAGTCCAAGCTGGATGGCCAGCCCGAGCTTTTCATCCACATCATTCCTGACAAGGCGGCGAACACTTTGACCATTGTGGACAGTGGCATTGGCATGACCAAGGCCGGTGCGTAGACACTCTGTGTTCCTGCTTTTATGTTTGTTGTGTTCAAAATCAGCGCTAGGAGCAACTCGCACTATATGAGCAGGTTGCATCTTGGTGACCCTCATCAAAGCAGACTGAAAAGCCGTATACGTGTGTCCATAGATGCACTCATGTTGATGATGTGCGGTGGTGGTACTGGGGGTTGCAATCACTTATACTCCTTTTTTGTGCACCAATCGCTCAGGCCTGTTGGCTGCTCTCGGCATGAGGATTGGGTTTGCCTCATTCGGTATAAGTTTTTGTTCAAAAGCTCATTTGGAAGGGTTTGGAAAGTTTTTTCCTTGGAACTGTCATTGACCAAGTTGCTGCCCGTCAAACCAAGGGCGCCAGAGCATGTGTCCGGCAGGGATGCTGGCGACCGCTTCTAGGAGGTATCTTGATCGCCAGGGCATTCTTGGGGTTTTCTTTTTGTTCACTCCTGGAAGGTCGTCGGAGGTTTGCTTTTGAAAGACGGTCGGTCGGTTGATAACATGGGAAGCTCGAGAATTCAATGCTCATTAGTCAAACCTGGTAGAAGCGCTCTCAATAAATCTATCTGCAGAGAGTCCTAGTATCGTCATCTGTTATTGTATGGTTAGTTTCAAATCAGTGCCTAACCTTTACGTTTTACTCGTCCAGACTTGGTCAACAACCTGGGGACCATTGCACGCTCCGGCACCAAGGACTTCATGGAGGCGCTCACTCAGGGTGCCGGTGACATCAGCATGATCGGCCAGTTCGGTGTCGGGTTTTACAGCGCTTACCTCGTTGCCGAGCGCGTCATCGTGACCACCAAGCACAACGATGATGAGCAGTATGTGTGGGAGTCCCAGGCTGGCGGTTCTTTCACCGTCAGGAGGGACACGAGCGGAGAGGACATTGGTCGGGGGACCAAGATTCAGTTGCATCTCAAGGAGGATCAGGTACGGTGGTTTTGGGTGAACTTGGTCGGGTCTATGGACAGGTTCCTGCTTTTAGTTGGGGAGTTAGGTTTTCGCTCTCAAAGCGTTCAGCGTGGAACCAGAATCTCAGTAGCCCTGAGTGATTATTGAGTGGTTATGATGATCTGTCAAAATGTTTCTCCATGCCACCATCAGGTAAAGTGCTGAGCCAAAGCACTGGAAGCCTCGAGGAACAGAGATTAGCTATCATCAATCCTAATTTAGGCATTTTGTAGTGGTGCGCTTGATTGAGAGCGGGAGGAGTTCAAGGTCATATGAAGCTTTTCTGAAGGATTAGACCCTCTGCTGGTTTCTTGGTAAGTGAATACTCCACTGCTGAGCTGACGCGTTGTATCTCGTGCTGCAGCTTGAGTACGTTGAGGAGAAGCGGCTGAAGGAGCTGGTGAAGAAGCACTCGGAGTTCATCAGCTACCCCATCTCGCTGTGGACAGAGAAGACCGTTGATAGGGAGGTGTCGGACGATGAGGAGGAGGAGGAGAAGAAGGACGACAAGGCTGAGGAGGGCAAGATCGAGGAGGTGAGCGCTGTCTGATCGAGCGATTAGTGACAGACAAAGGCTTGGTTCTTGCGCACGTTAGAATCCACCAAGCATTTGGGTGGGTGTCACAATTGTACATTGGAGTCGATTTTTGGATTGAAAGATGAGTTGTTGGGGACGTGACATGACAGTGGTGGCACTTGGTCATAGCGGTCCTATCTGAAGTTTGATTTCAGCAGATATCACAGGTTTCCTTTCTACATTTTCACATGGTGCATTGTGACTGGATCGATCTGGTTACCCATGTGACTTGCAGTCATGTAGTATTCTGGGGTCATAATGTGGTGGTTTCCATGTTGATGAAGGTGGAAAGGGCATCCTTGATGCATTTGTAAAGACTGCTGTGCTTATGAACAAGACCATCCTGGTCATGTTCACCACCTTCAAGCATGTGATGCTGTTTGGCTGGTAATAGAAGGTGTGCAGATTTGGAGATCTTGCTTTTTGCCAGGTGGATGAGGACGAGGAGAAGGAGAAGAAGGAGAAGAAGAAGAAGACGGTCAAGGAGGTGACGCACGAGTGGGCGCAGGTCAACAAGCAGAAGCCCATCTGGCTGCGCTCCCCCGACGAAATCACCAAGGAGGAGTACGCCGCGTTCTACAAGTCCCTCTCCAACGACTGGGAAGAGCACCTCGCCGTCAAGCACTTCTCTGTCGAGGGCCAGCTGGAGTTCAAGTCGGTCCTGTTTGTGCCCAAGCGCGCGCCTTTCGACCTGTTCGACGGGAAGAAGAAGGCGAACAACATCAAGCTGTACGTGCGGCGTGTGTTCATCATGGACAACTGCGAGGACCTTATCCCCGAGTACCTGAGCTTTGTCAAGGGTGTCGTCGACAGCGAGGACCTGCCGCTCAACATCTCGCGTGAGATGCTGCAGCAGAACAAGATCCTCAAGGTGCGCCGCAGCTTGTTCTGCTTATTCCCAACTTCTGCAATTTTCGGACCCCGCCGGGAATCATAATCGGATTGGAAGCATCTGATTCAATCAGAGAAAGTCTGCCCTTGCCCTTGTTCGTTCTGACTAACAGGTTGCTTCCAGCATCTTGACCTCCCCTATTTCAGTGGAGAGCTGATCCTTTTCTGGTGATTCCGGAGCTCGTTTGGATCTTGTCAAGCCCCATTTGAAATCTCAAAAGCCATCAGTCTTCTCCGTCTCAATGCTCGGTCAAGGGCAATCTCGGTCTGCCCTGGTCCCCTGATTGCTTGTACAACTTCCTGATTGCAAGTCCCCAAACCCGGTTGCCTGACGGATCTGCACCGTTACAGAGTATCTAACTTGGTTACTGCACCCGCTTGCAAGCTCAGAATCAACCGCTGGGCCCAAACCCTCTTCTGCGAAGGCATGCACGTCCGATGGCTGATCATTTGCTGACCCGAAAACTACTCGTTCGCAGGTCATTCGCAAGAACTTGGTGAAAAAATGCATGGAGATGTTCGGCGAGATTGCTGAGAACAAGGAGGACTACGCCAAGTTCTACGAGTCCTTCAGCAAGAACCTGAAGCTGGGCATTCACGAGGACAGCCAGAACCGGCCCAAGCTCGCGGACCTCCTGCGCTACCACTCCACCAAGTCGGGCGGCGAGGTGAGGGCCGCCGATTTTTTCACAAGCAGCTTCAAGGCCCTTTCCGCAATTTGAAGGGTTCGATCGGAGAGGCAGCTGTCAGAAGCTTGTCGTGGTCAGCTTCTCTTTCTACTAGGAGTACGGAGGATTGCCGTATCTACGGCCGTCCTGATAGGCCTCACCCGAGTCTAGTGCTCTCACTCTGCTGATTCTTCTTATCGAAGTGGCAGATGTTTGTTCTGCACACATCCTGTGCCCAGACTTCCTACAACGAAGTCAAACTTACTCCTTTGATCTCCAAGCAGGCCTCGATGCGACTATCTGAAGACGTCCATGTCAAACTAGGCGGTTTTCAAGGCTGTTTCGTTTTCTGGTGATTGCAAAAGCTTGATGTATCTACGACTTGGTTCCCGTAGCCTCAATTGCAGATCTTGGCGCTCGTAAGGTCAAAGTTCGCTCACATGACTCTATACTCCCGTCGTTTCTTATTTTCCATTTCGACCCCCTGCAGCTTACGAGCCTCAAGGACTACGTCACCCGCATGAAGGAGGGGCAGAGCGACATTTACTACATCACGGGTGAGAGCCAGAAGGCGGTGGAGAACTCGCCGTTCCTGGAGCGCCTCAAGAAGAAGGGCCTCGAGGTCATCTTCATGACGGACGCCATCGACGAGTACGCGGTGCAGCAGCTCAAGGAGTATGACGGCAAGAAGCTCGTCTCCGCCACCAAGGAGGTAAGCGCATGCTTTTCTTCGCAGGGCGAGCATCTTTTTGAAGCAAGGCTGTGGTTTTGGGCGGCGTCTTCTGTATTCAGTGAGCCGTTTGGACGGGCCCATCACTTTGAACTTCAAAGTGCCTGACTTTGCAGATGCGTCCGATTCGCTGGTACTTTGTTTCGTGGATTGTATGGTCTTTGCCACAGCAGCCGCAATCCAATCGTCCAGGACTCCAGGATGCAACCTGGTTGATAAAAACCAGGATGGATCTGTATTGCCACTTACGTTTATTCAACTGCTTCTGTTGGATGGTTTCATCGAAACTCGCTTTGCTTGGTAAGATTGGGTTATTGCTTATCTGGAACTCTGGACCGTGTTGTCTGGCCCTTTATGAGTTCTTTCGCTCAGCTTATCCGAGCTTACTCGGTCGCTTCACGTGCTTTCGGTTTGTTCAGTACCCGTGTTCCAGCAATACCAAAGTATGATATGGATTGAAATACAGAGTCTCTCCAAATCTGGCCCTCCTAAGTCTGCCATTTGGCATTAAAACCATGACAAATCTCAGATTTCAAAAGCTAGCACTAACAATTTTTAGGGCAACTCTGACCCATACTCTCCCCATTTGTGCAGGGCCTCAAGCTGGAGGAGTCCGACGAGGAGAAGGCCAAGAAGGAGGAGGAGAAGGCGCAGTTCGAGGGCCTGTGCAAGGTCATCAAGGACATCCTGGGCGACAAGGTCGAGAAGGTCGTCGTCTCGGACCGCATCGTCGACTCGCCGTGCGTTCTCGTCACCGGGGAGTATGGCTGGAGCGCCAACATGGAGCGCATCATGAAGGCGCAGGCGCTCAAGGACAACGCAATGAGCGGCTACATGAGCAGCAAGAAGACGATGGAGATCAACCCGAGCAACGCCATTGTGCAGGTAAGGCTTGCGTGTGGTTTGGACTCGTTGTGCGGGAATGTGTTTAGATCGGTCAACATCCGTGGGTTTCCAGGCCTTTCCGGGTCGAAGATTTGACTCATCAACTGCTAATGTTCAGGTGAAGTAAGTGGTTTGTGTTCCGGCCGTTCAGTCTACATGGTTCATATTCATGCTGAGGGTTTGGGTCGTTTCACTTGGTGAATAGGCCAACAGAATCAAGGGTGGTGCAGTCATAGTTTCCGTGTCGTCGGGTATGGTGATGAATTGGGGGTTGCCATCGTGCAATTGCGGGCGGTTTGTGGTTAGAAAAGGCGTTTGGCGTCGCTTTTGCGGCATGTGTGAACGGTCCTGCCTCCGAGAGCGGCACTTTGCATGCTTGCGTTTCGGCGGGCATATCTGCTTAATAACCATGATTTTCCGCCTGTCGTTCACCTTGAGGGCGGCACTAGACGCGCACACCCTCAGCAATCGTTCGGGACAGAGACCGCACATCATTTCGATGCGGACGAACTTCGTTGGCTTTCTGGTCTCTGTCCGAGATCACTGTCCTGACAGTCCACGTGGCGCCTTCTGATTGCAGGAGCTGAGGCAGCGGTCGGAAGCTGACAAGAGCGACAAGACCGTCAAGGATCTGGTGCTCCTCCTCTTCGAGACCTCTCTGCTGACTTCTGGCTTCAGGTGAGCCGTTTCGCCGCTAACCTAGTCAGTACTCACTCATGGCCGCGAGTATTCCCTTCTGGCTTGTCGTCAGTGGTCTGAAGTCTCGTGGCTTGCACATTTGCAGCAGAGTATATCGGTCCAAGTGGCTCACAGAAGCTGAGCGGTTGAAGATGCAGAAACAAGTGGTCAGTTTCTTTTCTGGCGAGGAGAACTGTGTGGCTCATTATTCAGCGCCTCTCTACGGCCAGTGTGAAGATTTCCTGTAGACAGTCTTGTCCGCGAACGTCCCCCAATGTCCTAATCGACCTTTGGTCGGATCTGGTGGACTCTCGGGAGGGTTCAGAAACCTTCGGACGATGGGAGAGAGGCTTGTATGATGCTCTTTTCGAGGTGTTGATGGCCGTTCCGTTTCTTGGCAGCTTGGACGAGCCCAACACCTTCGGAAACCGCATCCATCGGATGATCAAGCTGGGCCTGAGCATCGACGAGGATGCCGCCGCCGAGGAGGACGATAGCGATCTACCCCCCCTCGAAGACGCTGCAGCTGAGGAGGGCAGCCGCATGGAGGAGGTCGACTAATTGATGACTGAAGCTGTTTGGGGACAGTTCTGAGCTGTCGGAAATGTCGGGAAACGAGTCTGCATTTGAGATGCTAGTCGCGCTTTGCTGGAGTAGGGCTTTGACGGGTTGGCACTGCTTATGGCTCACGGAGTACCTGAGTTGAGGACAGCCTTGTTGAAGATTGCTTGATGCGCACATATGTGAGCGAATGGGAATTTAGTACTGTCGTCAGGTATGCTTGTTGCGACAGAATAACGACTGTCAGTTGCAATGCTTTTCATTGAGCTCATGATGTTTGAAATTCAGGAATGGTACTGCGCTTGCTGAGCTCGTCATGACTGGGCGTATGTCTTCACACAATACTAACTTGTCCTTGGATCAACGGCAAAAGCTCAAGTTGCGAGCAGAGAGCGAGAGCTATGAACAGCTGTGTGCCCAGCTGATCTGCCTCTGTTGGCCAATGATCACCTTTCATGGATACATGTGGCGATGTTTGAAGCATTTGTTCTTGGAGTCATCAGCTACCTATACACGCTTTATCTCAGGCTGCATGCTAGCTCGACACGTACCATGGTAACTAGCCCAATGGTAACTTCCAATCAATTCACCTTGAGCATTTGCGTGCTAGTTTAGGGCATGCTAAGCATGATGCAATTAGAGTCATAAGGGCAACAATGGTCCCCACTCATGTTGTAACATGTCCCCACTCATGTCCCCACTCATGTTGCAACAAAGCTGAGATGTACATGCATGCATCATGCTTGCCACTCAGTCTTACATCAAGCAAATGCTCAGTGAACAGTACGCGCTTCCATAGTTCACGTACTGCTAGGCTGCCAACTTACAGCTAGGCCTACAGGCTGTGAATCCATGGTTCGCTCATATCAGTCCTGCTAGGCTAGGCTGCCAACTTACAGGGCAACCACCTGTGAATTCATGGTTCGCTCATGTCAGTCAGCCGCACGCCTTGACAGATTTGCGCATGTGTCATGAGCATCACCCCAAGAGCATCCTGAAATATCAGTAGCATCCTCATTAGTAACTTTGTACATTAGGTCTGACAGGTGACTATAGGATAGCTGTCCAATGCATGCCTCGCAGCCACCCCAGACCTTTCGTCGCCCACTGCAGGCACATAAACCTCCTGAGAAAGGATTCGCATCATGCACTGAACGCAACGAGAAGATATATCTGCCATGTATTTGCAGTCGATATCCCCATTGTTAGTCTACTGGTTAGGCTCATGTCACCATCCAATTGCAAGTGCAGATTGCTGCCACAATCTGCATTGGACTTGGGAGCTGCAATGCGACCACAGATAGACGATTCTGAAAGAACTGTCGTTTACATACAGGGACCGTAAGTAGTTTACAAATCGATGGAGGGAGATATGGATGCAGATACCAAGAGCAAGCTAGAGCTGTGGCGCTGGGCAGACGGTGTCTTCATCCCAAGATATGTTAGATTCGGCTGGATACTTCGAAACCAGATGACACAAGCCCAGCACTGCGTTTCCAGACAATTGCACTAGCTCCATCATTGATGCCAAACACATTAAAACATGGCCTGGGCTAGACATATGATGGCATTCAATGCACGAGCACTGATGGCATTCAATGCAAGAGGCCTGAAGAACAGCTAAAGAACCAGTGGAAGCATCTGAAATGACGACGCGTGTTTTGACACTGAATCAGCTGCCTTACGGCATTATTATGATGGCCTTGCGGCCTGATCTCTGTCAGTGTGTGTTGTTAAAGCGGACCACCTGGACTCTAGCGAATGTTTGGACTTGACTTGACCAACCTCTTACGCAACTCTCCACCTGCAACTCTTGTGCAACACCATGTTCAGGATCTATACACAGTCAATCTAATCAAACAGGTGAACGTAAACACATTTCACCTGCCAACAACACGCAGTCAGGCTACCAATCAAGCCTCTGTCTGCCACAGGAACAACGCGTAGCTACTGAGCAGATCCGCATCCTCAGGAGCCTCCTGGAGCGCCTGCCGGTATAGCCTATCTGCCAATGTGACGTCGTTCTGCTCCTTGTATGCGAACGCCGCATAGCTGGCCAGAATCTTGGCGCTCCGGGGGTCTTGTCTAAGCTCCTTCTCATACAACCGCTGCGCCACGTCCTTCTCCATCCACACCTCCTTCAAATACTCGACAAACCCATCCGGGTAGACCGGCTTCTTCTTTGCCTCCGCCCCTATCCTTTGCTCGACACAGACGCCCCCCCCTTCCGTAACCTCCCTCTCTGCAAATACTGATTCAGCTGATGCAAAGATTGGTCTGCAGCCCCTAGCTGAACACACAACCATCCCCACCGCTGCCTCTGCAATGTGTGGCCGTCTCATTGCAGGGGCATTGTTGTACGACCTTGCGCTGAGCTCATCGTCCCACGCGCTCGTGCTGGCGACCAGATCTGTCGCAAACTTTGTCCTCACGGAGCCCCTCCCGTGGCTCGGACCCTCCGATGGTCCTGGCAGGGCCAGCTTGGAGGCAATGCGCATCTGCTGCCGCTTCTCCCTAAACGTTATGCTGCCAACCTGATGCTTCCGGCTGGTAAACACCTTTTGAGGGGACGAGGTGAAGGAAGACTCCGACAATGACTGCAGCCCTGTGAAGAGCGATGCTTGCTGAAGCGCAAGAGCCGCTCTGCAAACGGAGTTCGTAGCCATTTTCTCAGCTTGTGCGAGTTGCTGGAATGGGGCGCCCTGACGATTTCGGAGCTGGCGCAAACTTGCGATGAAGGTTTGTGACTGCTCTTTGGGAATATAAGAATGAGAGATCTGCTTCTGCAAACCAAAACCCTAGCTGGCGCCCTCCTGAAGAACTGGTCTCGTCTTCAATTTCTGCTGGTCATGCAAGAATTGAATTTGGAAGACTTGTGACTTCCCAGCTCCGGTCAGGTTCCAGCTTCGAGTGCTTGAATATTGTTTTTGAGTGCGTTTCCACCCCTTCGTACAGGCACGAGCTGCTGTATACTTTTGACGTGTAACTACGCTCCCTGAAGCTCGGAGAAGATGTACCGAGGAAGGTACCGACTTGAGCGCACGCGCAATTCATGCCGTCTGACGGTCTGACCGCCTGTACCGTACCTTGTACCCACGGCTGTACCGTACGTACAAGAGAAGCGCACCAGCGGAATCATTACAAATTACACGTGCAAGCTGCAGAAGGGCTCTGGTCCGTTCGGCTGCCGCATTTCCCGCTCGTGTGTACGCCCAGGACCCACATGGAGGCCATTTCGAAAATGCGGGTACTTTTACCCGGTCTGTCTCCGGTAAGATTGAGATTCCAAATCGACCGGGCTTGTACCTCCCCCGGGCCTGCAATTGACAAGGCCACGACATCTGAAGATGTACCCGAGGTTCAATCGATGACCGAGCGCCTAGCACGCTGGGCCCTTTTCTGAAAAGTGCATGCAGAGGGATTCCTGTGCCAAAAGAGCATTTGATTGGTTTGCAGGATCCGTACCTGTTTCTAGCATCTCATTGGCTGCAAGTCGTAACAGATTTTTCGAATGGAAGGTCCTCAACCTTCCCCCAGCTTCTCCTTCACATGGGCCCACACGCAGGCAATTGGTCAATATTCTGGCGTCCAATAAGAGAGGAGTAAAAGATTTTGGTGCCGCTTGACCTTCATACCATGAATGCCCCTAAAATTAAAGACAGTACCGTACCGAGATGCTACCGGTCTGTGTCTGGAGACGCTTCGTCGACACCTGGCACAAGAAGGTGAAGCGACCGTTATTGTCGGACCAGCTAACGGCAAGAAGTCGAGTCGTCCGATGCAGTTACAAAGAATCATACGGCCGATGCAAAATCTAATCTGAATGGTAAATCTACGGTCACTGTCAGCCGGTTGAGCAATGATCGACGATATGATGAGAAAGCCACCGTCCGCGCGTCTCGCCGGAGTCGCGCCCCACTGTCCAATGACTAAGATATTCATATTAGGTATGTCAATTACGGTACTTTGAAGTTTACATAGGCATTCAATGGCCAACGTTGAACTCACTACCGTTTTGTTGATATTACGATATTGCTATTATCATTGTTTGTTTTGTTGCGATTCCGGTATTGCTATATGCTTCTGACTCTTTTGGAATGCTCATGACGGTTCTCGGCCCGGTTCGATCTTGGCTTTTGCAATTGAGGCAATAGGGATTACACAGCGGGGGTCTTTCGTCAAGCCGACATGTAGTGGGGCCATACAGCAAAAGGGGTCAATGCAATGGGCCGCCCATGAGACAATAAGGCTGGCGCACAACTTGAGTCATTTGGATCACAATGGCAGTTCAGCTGTTGGTGACTCACTATAATCTATCCTTGGTATCCGCCCGGTATCCGACGACTTCAAGCCATGGACCGAAGCAACATGCATCTCAGCTTTTATAATTCAAGAGCTTGCTATTTATACGCGGTAAAATGATTAAAGTAGGTAGCACCATGTCGGCCTTACGGCATATCTTGCCGGTTCACAAGCTACCTATGGTGGGTCTCGACGGTATCGACCGCGCGACGGTCGGGTCTCAAATTTGTATGACCGGTGTCACGCGTCGCGACACATTTTGTACGCAGTACTAACGATCGTACTCGGCCGTACTAGAGAATCGGGTCCGAATTCATGAATCGAGCTTTTCCTGACACGTCGATCAAACGGGCAATTACGTACTACCCGGAGGTACGGTACCGTCGCGCGAGACTCGAGTCTGCGCGGCCGACAAATTTAAATTTCATGGTCTTGGTCGGAACTTCCGACTTGTACCGTGCACGAGTACCGCGGTACCCAGACTGAAAGAAGAGTGCAGAGATTTGATATAGGAGTGTAAGAGAAGGCGCTCTTCAAAATCCAACAATGGCGGCCAACTTTGCGCCTCCTATGCTGCTATTTGAGATTTGTCCTGAACAAAACATGATGTTGGAGCTTCAAAGGACAGCTAATGACGGTCCCCCAACATTTTTTTTAGCTTGTCAAAGGTTTCTGCATGTTGCATAAGCCGCATCTTAGTGTGGCATTTTCATGCTCCCGTCAAAGTGTAAAATAATACACTTGTTTACAACTTCATGACACTCACTTACGGCCGAGCAAAAATTCCTGAGTACTCGAACCGTACATGTTTCGGAAGTCCGACTCAGCGTAACGTGAACCGCCGGTATCACTGACAGAATTTGATACCGGGTCCCACAATTTCGTTGCGGTTCGAGTCGGAGTCGACTCGGCCGGAACCCACCGTAGGTAGATTGTGTTATACCTTATATATGATTTAACCCGTACGTCATTAGGTGCATCTCTTTTGATGGTAACACCTCGCTTGTATACATATGCGAACATCGCGAGAGGCCTCATGAAGCGAACTCCCGAATCCGTCTATATCATTTAGTTGCCGGGGCAGGCCCAGTAGAAAGCCATGGCCACTGCCACATGATGTCGGCCATTGGTCGGAGAGCAACAGCGGTCGAGTGCATCATTGTTGTCTTCGCCGCGATGCCTGCCGCTTTCATGACAGTATGGTACGACAAACGTGGGAGTATTAGGATGATGCATGGAAGAACCAAATTTGTATGTCCTACCTTCTAACGTTCCATTTGCCTTCGTGGCAAACATTCACAACCATTGACGCACGTGAGTGGATGCCTCGCTTTCCACTGAAGAAGTGACTTAGCGATCCGATCATGCCAAAAATGGCTACAAGGTGATTTCCCTTGCATCGGGGTTTTGCACATGGGCCCTACCAGCTCATAATTGACAGGCCATGTAGCACAATCGGCCTTTTGCACATTGGCCCAACCAAACAGTCAATGACAGGCTATGTAGCATCATCTTGGCAATTGCTGGACACTTGCACCAGCTTAAGCAAAGTTCCAATTCTAGAATCTCAGAAGCTGGTGAAGGTACCCTCGTGTTTGTGTTTCATCACAGGTCCTTGGATGCGTTACCGAAGTCCCCCTCGAAGTCTGTCCAATCATCCAGGTGCACGGTCTCGAATGGTCCCTGAAATAGGAGGGACAAAAAGGAGTTGGTTTAACAACTGGCAATTGGGACTCGACGGAATTCTCGGACTTGCATTTAGCACAGCCATTCAAAAGCCAGGGAACAACGAGAAGAGTCGAAAGGCACTCCAAAAACCAAGCACAAGTGCCGCAGCCATCATTTTGGACTGAACGCAAGAGCAAGCAGCATCCGCATGCAAGAGCCAGCTAAAAGACACATCAAGAAACATAAGCGTCTCTACTTCATTGCCGTTAGTAACTTCGGCCGAGTACCCTCCACCCAAGCCCGTCGCTTGTAAACATAACGACAACATCGACAACGACCTTCACAATGATACCTAGAGCAATGGTCGTTTGCAAGCCAGATTTTGGTGAAGTCGATTGGAGGGCTCTGAATCAGGCAGAAATCCATACCGGGTTTGAACTTGGCCGCTTCATGCCGGGCCAATTCCGGAGGGACCGTGCTGTTGCTGTTGACCAGCATCTGCTTAAGATCGTAGAACAGGTCCGTGTCCTGGTTAGTCAAGAACGACGTTGCCACGCCCTTCTTTCCGGCACGCCCAGTACGACCTGCAACGGAATGAGAACAAACGTCAGAAAGTTTCAGACCGAAAACCGTGAAATTGCATGGAACCTTTTCAGAAGACTGACAGAGGTCGACCTGCAACTCTCCAGAAATGCAATCGTGCATCTACACAAAACCAGTTGCGTTCTTGGCATATGAAACGATTGCGAAGCAAAGCGTGAGTGAGATTAGGAACATCGAGAGCAAAGGCTGATCTTCGTCTCAGTTGAAGAACGGTGCTCGAAAGCGAGCGATGACCTTTGGGAACCAATTCACTGCTACAATGCTCGTCTGAAAAAAACATTGCCGCAAGAAAAGGTACGGTGATTCCTGAGGACGAGAGCAGAAGCGCCATTAAAGGTTTAAGGACGTACCGATTCGGTGAGTGTACTGGTCAATGGTAGTTGGCATGTCGTAGTTTACCACAGCAGCGACGTCCTGCAGACACCGAGGGGGGACGGACGTCAGTCCGTCTCAAAAGGACCCCCGGAAACAAATCTCAGACTTTAAACCATACCCGATAATTCCGACCTTTGCCTAAGGAAGTTCTCTAGCAAATGGCCGCGATTGTGCAGTCCTTACAATGGTCAAGCTGCTCGACAATGGGTGTTCGGATGCGAAGTCTGTGGGAGCGCACAGGTAAGTAGTTTGATCCTTTCATCCGCAGCACCAGAAAGGCTATAACTCGATCACTGGACACCCGCAGAACTTCTTGACACTTTCGTGACTTTACATGAAGAGAAACCTATTTGGAAGAAGAAGTTCTAGTTGCGTAATAGGGGCAACCAAAACATGCTTACATGCGCCTGAATAGAAACGGTAAAGGGCGCAAGCCGAAGAGTCACTTGGGAACAAGTACGGCGCTGAAGAACCTCGTGCGAATGTGCAGCAGATGAGACCGTGCTGATCAAATCGAGGAAAACCGACAAGGTTGTCACCAACCAAACTACGGTACTGTCCGCACAAGGAAGGCGGTACAGAGGGGCATACATCACACCAGTGCAATACCCATGCACGAATGGAGTAGGAACCCACCGGAATATCGATACCACGCCCCGCCACGTCGGTAGCAACTAGTATGGTGAACTTCTTCTGGCGGAAGCCTTCGAGGGAGACCTCGCGCTGGTCCTGGATCTTGCCTCCGTGGAGTGACGTCACCTTGAAGCCGTCGCGCTCCAGCTGGCGTGCGAGACCGTCCGCCGACTTCTTTTGGTTCACGAAGATGATGGCCTGCCGCTCGCCCAAGTCCTCCAGGAGGCGCTTCAGCCTGGTTAGAAAGGGGGTTAGGAGATGGTTAGAACCAGGTCTGAACCGGATTACCAGAAAACAATTGGGTTAAGGTTTTTGACGTTTTCTGGTTCCGGAGATGTTGGCCTGCCGCTCGCCCAAGTCCTCCAAAATGCGCTTCAGCCTGGTTAGAGGTATGTTGGAGGGGGGTCAGGGTGGGGTTTGGAGCGGGTTAACAGAAACTAGATGAACATTCGTGCGTTCTGATCACTCAATAACGCTGATCAGCCTCTTCGCAAAGGTGAGCAAAGGGTTCTGATAACGTTAAAGGACGGTTGCGGGAGGCTTACTTGGGAGGGCAAATAGAGCGGGTTAGACAATCAAGGGCCTCAGATCCGGTCCGAAAGGATGACTGCCTGACTTTGCCCAAGTCCACACAATGGACTTCAGACCAGCACTTTCTTGACGTATATTGGATTAGCGAGAGCTGAGAAGTATAAAAAAAGAGGAGCTGAGGTATGGTTGTGTTTATGAGATACAGCCAGAAAATCGAGGCAAACTACAGTCCAACGAATCTGAAAGATCCTCTTCAACCCTGCATATCTGACCGGTTGTCCAACGTTGGAAACGGAGACATGGGCAGCAATTGGTCAAGGACCCTGACCGCCTTCTTCTCAACGCAACAGCAGGAAGAGACTCCTCGAGAAAGGTTAGAAGCGACAGAGCAGCTCACTAGTCCTTCTTTCGTTTTCATTCTTCACGAACCACGGTCTACTCGAGTGGACAAAGTCGCACGGAAACACCAAAGAGAACACCAGTTCAAACGAAAAGAAAGGCAGGCAACGAGCCCAAGGTCGCAGTCAGGACCCCTCTCACCGGTCCTTCTTCTCACTCTCATTCTTGACCATCGTCACCACGGTCTTCTCGAGCATAACCAAAAAGAAATGAGCACAAACAAAGGCAAGATCAAGGTAAA